CCTATTGCTCAAGACCACTATGAAGAAATGAAGAGTGGGTCAAGACTTTTGCACAGAACTGTATGTTTTATATTCCTTATCTTGGTAATATCAAGATAATGTGTTGTGATTAATAGATAATGATTTATGCATAATGTTTGGCTGTTTTCAGAAAGCATAACCACAGTGCAGAGGCAGAACAAACATACAACGAATGGGTTAAAACCATGGAGCCGATTTACACCAACTGCACACAGGTGAGCTTTTACTGTGTGTTTTTATTATTAGATTGAATGCATCACATTAGACTTCTTTTACACTTAATTCCTTTCCCCTCCCCAGAAAAACACCGTCAGCTCAGACTCACAGGTAATTCATTCTCTTATACTGCTTCTCATTAGAATACTTACTATGCTGTCCAGATTCCTTTTTCTATAAATCCTCCTTTCTTCTCTTCCCGCCAGTCTATCACAGACGCTGCTGCAGCGCTGTTCTACACCATGAAGCAGAGAAACAAGAAATCTATCTCAGAATAAACACAAGCCCAGCCAACTGTCCTCCTTCCCCTTTTACCTCGTTGGAAAGCAACTCGAGTCTGAATGCCGAGGCCAAATGCTGCACTTAGACTTTGATTATTTGGCTGGATGGATATCCCTCAAATATTTCACATTGTAAATAATGCATTACAGTATATCTCACACCTCATTTCTCATGCTTGATTTTGTTTTTTAATGTTACACAAGAAAACTACTGATGCAGTTTTACAGTTAGAACTGCTTTTGTGTTTGACAGTGTCGCTTGCGCCTGAGTTTGTGCACTGACCAAAGTGCCAAGTAAAAACATGATTCAGAAACACCACCATGAAGCCAACACCCAGATCCTTTATGTCAGCAAAATAGATCTCATAGCACTTTTTTTTAACAACTCTAAAACAAAAGTTAACATAACGAAATGCAACAAAGCAGTTTTTGAGATTTTTATTTCAGTAGTACTATACATGTATAATATTCCTAATTATAACCATAAAGCTCTGTTTATAGAAATATAAGACACAAAATTAACAGGATATGTATGTATGCACATTTCATACCCACGGAATATGTACATGGAGTCTGATATTTAAGCGTTGCAGAGGTAGTGGACAATAGAGTAAACGCAAAACAAAACTGAGCAAGCAATGATTATGCCTGAGATAGAAGCTAAAGCATAAATAGACATGCGCTTCTCCGGGGCAGCCCTCAAAATGCAAACATATTTGCAGCCTTCTTTTGTACACGTGTGTTCATCACGGAGTGCGTGCAGGTTCCAATAAAGCAGCAAAAATAAAAAGCAGGCTTCAACCAGAATCCGCAGAGCTATGCTGAGCAGGTAGAAGCCTACGGTGCCCCTGTCTTTGTGGAGATCTATGATCATCTTGCCCCTGCCTCCCGCTGTCGCCACCGTCTGAGCTTCCTCTGTCCCCTGAGTCTCCGGCTTCTCATCCGCCTTCATCCTGAAGCTCCTCTTCTGCGCCATTGTGCGGAGGTGGGAGGTGAACAACTCCATGAGCAGGACAGAGATGACAACCACGACAAACATGAAGTTCCAAGCCACTATCATGGGCTTGTCGAATCGTTCATTAAAACAGAATTTCGTGCAGACATCGGGGGTGCTGCTATTGCAGGTGAAGTCAGCATCCAGTTTGCTGAAGGGCAGCTCAGCAAAGAAGAGGACCACAAGTCGGACACACAGCAGGCCGAACCACAGGGAGCGGCACTTGTAGGTGGCGGTGGTATCCACTGCTGTTCTCAGGATTGGGATGAGGCCCGTTACTATTGCTGCCATTGTCACTTTTCCTGGTAATATAAAAGAGGAAGCTGGTGAAACATATAAACAATTAGGTGACATATTAGGTCATAATGAGAGATCATTTTGCTTTTGTGCTAAATTATGGTAGTTAAGTTGTAGATCTCATCTCCAAAGTCAATAAACAACTCTGATTTGGGTTTTCCATCTTCAAATGTGCAAACACAGACAAAACCAACAAACTGCTACAACTGGACACAGATTATAGTGCATCAAACATTTTTTTTTTTTTTAAAAAACACTAATTTTATACACATTTACAAATGTCACAGCAAATGCATACAGCTCTGTTTGTGTCTGAGCATCTTAGTGTATAATAGGAGTCAAGTAAAGCAGACGGCAGATATTACCTTGCAGGGTCACAGCGCACTAATAGAACACAATCACTGTGGCTTTGCCTTCAATCTTTTATGGGTTCACGAAACGTCACGGTCATCAATATATGTGTTAGTTTCTCACCAAACGATCTGCTGACACGGTCTCACTGAGTTTTTTCTGTACATCTTCATCCTCAACAGTAACAGAAACACTACACGGACTCACAAAAAAAAAAACCCAAAAAAACAGGACCACAACACAGTGAATCTCCGATTATTACTGATTGTTGCACACACGTTTTTATTGGCATAAAAATGTGATTCCTCTTGGCATTTCTGAATGCCAGCGACGTTTTGCAGCTTGACAAGTTGTTTTAGCGACACAGTGAAGCAGTTACAAATTGTTCAGACAAAAGAGATTCAAAAAAACATTTAAAAATGTTTTATAAAAACATGTCGGCCATAAAGCCAAGGATTTAATTGTTGGTTTCGTTTGTTTTCTTTATGGTGGATTTTTATGACGAGATTACAACAGATACGACAATTTTATATTAAGGTACTTATAGTACAGTATACTGTATATTTTAATACATTAACATATAATACACATAACTGTTTTTAAAAATACTGCAGCAATACAAAACAAAGACCAAATGTCGACCGTTTACATAAGGATAATGCGTTTTTGATGTTTCTTAAGGAAGTTATTTTGAAAAGTCAGACCCATCTAAAAAACAGCTTTAAGGCCACGGGGTAAATATGTGTGGAATTAAAATGACAGACAAGCTTAAATCCCCTCTTCTTTGACTAAGTACTCTCGAAGAGACTGGAAAGCGGTGACGGGGACAGTCACGGTCGGGACAGTCAGCGACATGGTGCCGGGCTCGACCGACGAGGGAGAAACCTCACTGGGGGTCGGAGGAGAAGGCAGGGGGTCTGTGTGAATGATGTTTATGTCGGCGAGCTGCGTGGCAACCGGCGCGGCGTCCGCGTGAGTCCGTAAGTGCTTGCGAAGGTACGCGGCGAACAGGAAGGCTTTGCCGCAGTGGGGACAGCTGTGAGGTTTGCTGTTGGAGTGGATCTTCTGGTGCTTGCGCAGTCCCGATTTGTTGAGGAAACCCTTGCCGCAGCTGTCGCAGACGTGCGGCCTCGGCTTGGGATGCTGCTTTTCGTGCTCCTGCAAGTCTGCAAGCTGTGCAAACTCCTCGTGGCAGGTTTTACAGATGTGCGAGCCCAGCGACACGATTTTGGCAACGGACTGGGTAGAGTCAATGGGGTGAAGGTTTTCATGGGTCTGAACTTCTTCCCAGGTACCAAATGTAGCATCACAGTGAGTACAAGAGAACTGAGGGAGAGTTGTGTGGGCAGTGAAGCCTGAGGGTGACCCAGCCTCTGTCTCCTGCTGCTGCTGCTGTTGCTCAGACTGCTCAGCGAGGTGAGTTCTTTCGTGTTTGCGCAGGCTTGAGGACACCACAAATGACTTCAAACACTCCTCGCATTTGAAAGGCCTCTCTCCAGAGTGCACACGCCGGTGCTTGTTGAGGCTGGAGCGCTCAGCAAATGACTTGTCGCACTCTGTGCACATAAATGGCTTCAGACCTGTGTGGACGAGCATGTGGCGCCGCAGATCCCAGGAAGCTACGAAGGCCTTGTCGCAGCTCTGGCATTTGTACGGGCGCTCTCCAGAGTGAACGCGCTCGTGTACGGCCAGGTCGGCCGGCTGCCGGAACCTCTTGGAGCATTTATCGCAGGGGTAGGGCTTGAATCCCATGTGGGCTCGCTGGTGCCGACGGAAGCTGGAGGGGTCTGAAAACATCTTGCCGCACTGCGGGCAGAGGAACGGCTTCTCACCAGAGTGAGTGCGGAGATGGGACTGATAGGAAGAAAGCTGGGTGAAGCCTTTAGTGCATTGCTCGCACTTATAGGGTTTATTCTGCGAGTGGATGCGCTGATGGCAGGCCAGGGAGGAGGAGCGGGAGAAGGCCTTGCCGCAGTCCGAACACAGGTAGGGTTTTTCCCCAGTGTGGGAACGCTCGTGGTTTTTGAGGTCCTTCAGCTCAGTGTATGTTTTGCCGCATTCGTCACAAGCATACGGTCGATGGCCCTGGTGGTTCCTTCTGTGCTTTCGGAACACTGAGGGGTCAGCAAAGCTCTTCCCACACTCGGCACACAAGTATGGCTTCTCTCCCGTGTGAGAGCGCATGTGCACCTTCAGTTTGGACAGGGTTGGGTAGCTCTTAGAGCACTGACGGCAGGAGTACGGGCGCTCTCCACTGTGCTGTGTCATATGGATCCTGAGGCATATCGCCTGCATGAAGGCCTTGCCACATTCTGTGCATACAAAAGGTTTCTCCCCAGTGTGAGAGCGGCTGTGGTTACGCAGCTCTGTGGGCGTCTTGTAAGCTTTGTGACAGCTGGGACACTGGAAGGGGCGCTGGGCTGAGTGAGTGCGCTCGTGCTTTGAGAGCTGAGCCTTGCTCGAGAATGTTTTGGCACACTCGGGACATGGGTGCTGCTGCCGTTCCTTCACATGTGCCGACTGCTTGTGGCTCTGCAGAGCTGACAGACTCTTAAAGGCCTCTGTGCACGCAGTGCATTTGAAAAGGGGTTTGGCTTTCGGAGGCCTGCCTCTGCCACGTTTTTTTGCAGGCTGATCCCTCTCCACCTCTTCCTCTTGGCCCTCTTCATCCTGCACAGGAGGGGTGTACTCCGCAGCAAGAGGTGGACTTGCAGGCTGAGCAGAGGCCATCTTTACATCTACAAAAAAAGATGATGGGAAAAAAATGTACCGTTTAATAACAATGTAAAAAATAAAAACACACCATTGGCAGCTTGGGATAAAAAATCTTCCACAGACATGAGGGTGTTAAGTCCTATGACTTTTGTGGATTTGAAGAGTACAACTTTAATGAAAGTGGGTTTTGAGGGATAAGAAATAATCAGTCAGATAATAAAAGAAATATGTGGGTGTGCAGTTAATAACAAAATGGCTGGCATTAGGACCTCAGGGACAATAAGCTAGCCGCTTTAATGCCAAAGGAAGTTGGCGAGGTAATGTCAGAGATCATAGTGCATGAAGATGAACAAGTGGCATGTGCACGACCAGAGAAAAACACCAGAGATCACAGCTTAGGGTGATGGTACTACGACCAGCCCGGGCGTGTTATGTACGTATACCCCTCCGCTAGCTTTAGCTTGCTAGATATTTTCACTAACTCAAAATGGCTGGCTTTAGGACCGGCTGTACCGATTCACTCCACAGTGCCATCATCATCATTACTGTACATGTACAGCATGTATTTAGCTAAGTTAGTTGCTTGCGTGTATTAGAAAAACAAAAGTCGATCTTACCGGAATCAGGGCATTAATCGCCGTTCGGTAAAGGGCTTCGTTTACTGTGAGACACGGTGGCTGCCGTTGACTGGCTGTGCGAGAACGGACGGCTCTAGGACCATGATGACGACAGCTCTTGGAAAGCCAAGCGTGTAATACGTTTAATTATAAAATTTTATTTTATAACACACATCATAAATGTACAATAAGCCCTCTAGTAAGATACTACAGTCCTAATAAAGTTCCACAATTGTGTGTTAAAATGGAAAGATGCTTGCCCAACTGCTCAACTTAAATGCAAATCTAGCTATTTTAGCTAACCAGTATGTTTTGGGGCGGATTATGTAAGATATTTTGAGAATGAACTAAAAATGAACATTCACCTCCTGCTTTTTATTTGCTTAAAAACAACGTATTATATATATATATTATTTTTTTTACCGGTTTATCGATTAGCTGCTGCATCTTGAGCTAGTAGAGTTACTTTTGAGAGGGAATTATTTCTCTGTTGCACATTTCCTGTTTCCTAGCAACAAGCGCAATGTGGAAATGGGGATGGAAGAAAAAAGACAATTGGAAAAAGGGGGGCTGCCCTTTACACAAAAGTGATTTTTTTTTTAAAAAAAGCGTGAATATAGGTCTTTGGGGCTCGCTTGGAATAACTACTCCCGCAGGTATTAAACTCCGTGCAGTCGCTGGTCTTTGGAGTTTCGCGTTTAAAAACGCTTTCTGCTGCAGTAGGTGCAATGTTTGTTTAGCTAGCCAAGATGATGCTAGCTCATACTCCGCTAATGTTAGCTCACTGCATTTTGAAACCATTCATATTTAAGTTGCTTCCTCTTCCTAAAAACTCAACGACAGCGTGCATAATCCGCTCCGCTTTTGATCACGATGTGGAGAGTGATGCGGATTTACAGTGTCAGTACATTTGCATTGACAGGCGTTGTTTTCCTGGTGTATTGACATAGCTAGTTCAGTTAGCCTGTTGGTGCAGAGGTATAGCAAAACCTGTCAGACTGTTTACACTCCGCTATTACGTCTTCCCTCATGCATGTTGACTACTGGTGGTAACACATTAACTCTGTAATATAGTTATCTAAAAGTTTGTACTTTTCATTTGTATGAGTTTAATAGTAATGAGTTATCCGCGGCGTCCTAAAGTGTCTAATTTGACGTGCTTTATAAAACTAATACTGTTTCTGTTCTCCACAGCTCCATTTGTCTGGATTCTTCAAATTCAACTCACTTCAGTGATCTGATGGGACCTGTTTTTGACGTATTTCTGTGGCTATATCCCATAGAGAGTCCTTGCATCATATTATAAAGAACTGCCTTCTTTTTATATGGATAAGAAAGGCATCTAATGCATTTCCGCCCTATTTTGTGTCTGGCGCACTTAATTCAGTCCATATCTTGTGATGGCTTTGCAAGACCATGGCAGGACAACAGGTTTTCCTTGCAAACAGTGTGGTATGGTGTGTCCCAGTATGCCCAGTCTAGTCGAACATATGGAGTGCCATCAGGAGCAAGATGAAGAACGCAAGTTTAAATGTGATGAATGTGGACGTGGTTATAGGCATGCTGGTAGCCTAACTAACCACAAAAAGACTCACGAAGTAGGTTCTTTTCAGTGTAATATATGTGGAAAAGAAAACTCTAATGCCTCGGCCCTGAAGAGTCATCTCCGGAGCCACACTTCCCTTAAAAAGTATTCCTGTGCGGAATGTGGAAAAGCTTTTCGCCTGGCAACGCAGCTGGCTACACATCAGAGGGTTCATTTTGCCAGACAAGCAAAAGAGCAGTCATATCGGAAGGTGGACACGGAATATTCCTCATATAAAAACAGACATGAACTTGAAAACGATCACCCACATCATCTTAGTGAGCACTTGGCCAGCGTTGGGATTTCCACAGTAAATGGCCCATCTGAGGACAAGGCTGAGATTGTTTATAATGTGCAATCGGAGACCTCAGAGGATGCAGTAAATCGACCATTCAGGTGTGATTTATGTGACAAGTCATACATACACCATCGAAGCCTGACCAACCATAAAAAGACTCACCAAGTGGGAACATTTGAGTGCACAGTATGTTTCAAACTGTTCAGTAACATGGCTGCCCTTTACAGCCATCAGCGAACACACAAGGCGAGAGGCGGGACTGACCTCACTTCGACAGGTGGGTCATATGCAGGCACACTTCTTGACCAGTTTTCACCTCAGAGCCAAGATGCTCCAGTAAACTTTTGTCATTTATGTCAGGTACTTTTCCCAAACAATGAGGAGTTCCAGGAACACATCCAAATGCATAACTCTTCATCTCTGTCATTTGGTCTTCAAGATCCATTGTCAGAGAGCCACAGTGTATCATATGAAAACAGTATTGCTTCACCCGAGTCCAACTTTTATGCTTCTCCTATAAACAATATTCCTCCGGTGTCATCAATGGATAGTCATGGAGACTTTGATACACAAGAGAAGATTAGAAGTAACGCTCACATGTACTCTGACTGCTCCAGTGATCAAACCCCATCGTCCAATAGCACTCAGGGAGATCCCCCAATCATGGACACAAATACTCTCAGTCCTACCCTGATGCCCACACAAAATAATTGCAATGCACCTGAAATTGAAGAGACTTCAACTGTAGATTCTGATGAGCGTCCCTTCAAGTGTCAGATCTGCGGTAAAAGCTACCGGCACTCTGGGAGCCTCATCAACCACAAAAGGTCACATCAGGTTGGGATTTACCAGTGTTCCATCTGCAGGAAGAATTACCCTCACCTGGCAGCCCTCAAAAGTCATCTTCGCCTCCACAAAGCTCAGCCGTCTTCTCTTAATCTCAGTGCTGAGGGAGACTGGCTCTCCTCAGAGCCTCTGACTTTGGATAACCAGCAGGGCTGCTTCTCCTCCCAGGATGAAGAAGAGAACAGTGCTCATCCTGTGCTTTGTATGGATCAGGAGAATGGAATTGATGGCAGGAATGGAGCACTGTACCACGAGCAGTTTAATCAGGACTTCTCCCAGGATATGACTGTGCATCTACCTCACAATGAACACCTGATGCAGAGGCACATGTGTGCAGACTGTGGTGAGACATTTGCAGATATTGCAGGGATTAAGTCTCACAGCTGCCCATTGCTGCATCAGCAACATAACACTACTAATGGTGACTATCACAACAGTTTAAACTTCCAGGTCAGTAATGGCCATTGTGAAGTTGGAAATCCAGGAATTAATGTTGAGTTCCAGGGTCTGAATGCTAGCCACAACCAAAGTCACTTTGAACAAAATTTCCAAGAAAATGTTGTAAGTGAACGGCTGAACAGTGGCCAAGAAGATGTTAACACAGATGAGGAAGATGATGGTGACCTTTATCAGTGCTCCATATGTGGCAACAGCTACACAACCATGAGGGCTCTCAGGAGCCATCTCCGAGGGCACACACAATCCCACGGCACTCCTACAAGCTCAGGTCCTTCTTCCACATCCTCTCATGAAGATTTGAAAGATGAGGAGTCAGGAGAAATGATGATCTGTAGTACATGTGGGGAAAGTTTTGCCAATCAGCAAGACTTGATTGCTCATCAGCTTGTGCACAATCAGGACCAGGTAGATAATGTTAAACCTTTCCACATTAATAATGATGTTTCTGAAAGCAAGGAGGAAGCGCAAAACATCATCTGTGGAAGCTGTGGCATCTTTTGCACCAGCTACCATCATCTTGAGAACCACAACTGCACAGCTGAGAGGAAACAGGAGTTAGTGGACAGCAAGGAGGAAGTGAAAGTAAACAAGGTTGCCCAGCACCAAGACACGGGTGCTGACAAAGACATGGTCAATACTGAGAAACGTCAATACAAGTGTGATCAGTGTGGCCGGTCATACAGGCACGCTGGCTCCCTCCTCAACCACAAAAAGTCACACAAAACGGGTGTCTTCAGATGTCTCGTCTGCCAGAAACGCTTCTACAACCTGCTGGCCCTTAAAAATCATCAGAGATCCCATTTTGATATTAAGAGGTTAGTTTGGCATGAATGCACACTATTAATACTATTAATTAATTTTATAGATGATCTGTGCTTGTTGGAAAGAAGGGATTAAAAACAAAGCTTTGCTTATAGGGTCGGATTTGTGTTTTTGTCTGTCACGGAGTCAAAGTGTTCTGTCATTGTGGCTTTACTTGTTGTGGAGATTGTGCCCAGTTTTTCAAACATAGAATTAACTATAACCCTTGTCTCCTTCCTTAGGCATACGTGTCACGAGTGTGGGAAAGCTTTCAAAATTCAGAAGCAGCTACTGAATCACCTGAGAAGGCACAAAGAGAACCAAGCCAAAATCCAGGAACTCAATAGCCAGATCCAGGCCCTTATGCAGATGAATGGGACCAGGTCAGATGGAGGAATGCAGCCCTTAGCTTCAGATGCCAATCAGGATTGTAATTCTGCTCTGCGCTGCAAGGAGCCAACTGAAGAAAGAGAAACGCAGACAAAGTCGGAGATGTCAGTGAAATCGGAGGATGCAGGTGACCGACGACCTTTTGCCTGTGACCAGTGTGGTCGCACGTATCGCCATGCAGGAAGTTTGGTTAACCATAGAAACTCTCATAAAACGGGTCAATATTCCTGCTCAGTTTGCAACAACACTTACACCAACCAGCTAGCAATGAAGAACCACTTACGCACCCACTTTGCATATAAAAGGCACTCTTGCCAAAACTGTGGAAAGGGCTTTAGAGGAAGGAAGCAGCTTTTAGCTCATGTCTGTGGAGACCTCAGAAAAGATAGGTCTGGAGTCAGAAGGGGTCTAAAATCTAAAGCCTTTAAGTGTAAGGAATGTAAACAGGCCTTTTTCTCTGCAGACCAGCTGGCAGCCCACACCTGTGATCAACCTTCGGGTAGCAGGGAAGCAGATTTAAATACGTTTCCAAATAAAGAGGAGCGACCTTTCAGGTGCAACATATGTAATCGCAGCTATCGCCATGCAGGCTCACTGTTGAATCACAAAAATACCCACAAGACGGGGCACTACTGTTGCAACTTCTGTTCTAAGCCCTTCACTAACCCCATGGCTTTGCGCAATCACACACGCATCCACACGCAAAAGAAGAAATACGTGTGTCTGACATGTGGAAAGGCCTTCCGTCTCGCCAGCATTCTGCACAATCACCAGAGGGTCCACAATCGGGCGGTGAATCACTTTAGCTGCTCTTCATGTGGGAAAAGCTTCCAGGGCAGGTCTGGCTTGAAGAGGCATCGCTGCCGCAGAGGTCAGGAGAACGCAGGATCTGGAGTCCAGCAGTCAGAGAGAGGAGACAAGTGTTTCATGTAAGTCTTTTCTATTAATTATTATTGGAGTGGTTTTCTAATTCTTTCACTTGTTGATTATTTTTTTGTGTGTGTGTGTCATTTTGATAAAGCCTGACTTTGGCCAGACTGATACGTTATCCCCTGCTAAACTGACGCAGACAAAGCTGGGATTTTTTTCATGCATATTAAGCAACTTGTGTTTGCATAAGAAACAACATCACTGCAACAAATTTTGCTAGAGAGTACTGACAGCTTCATTTTTAAGTATGAGTGCTAACAGCAGCCATGGTTTAAAGCATTTTGTTTTAAAGTTGTGCATACATTTAATTGTAAAACCTTCTATCCCATTCTTGTTAACCTGATATCATTTGAGTTTGAATGTGAGGATGAAGTGGTAGTAATTTGGAGGTCAGATGTCATTGTGACCTTGTTTAGCTACAACTAGAGAATTCTTTCAATAATTATGATCAGAAATATACAAAAATGTTTAAAATGATAAATGTTCATATCCAAAAGGTCAATGGACAATCTCTTTTTTTTTGGTTTGTTTGTTTGTTTGTTTTTTGAAAGCATCAGTGACCTTATTGTCACAACACTCCTCTCAAACACTCTTTGACCTATGGCTGTGAGTATCATTCACAGAGTTGGGGAATGGCTGCAATCACAGCGTTGCAAAATGGTGAAAGATGTACCCCTATGCCTCCTCGATTTAGAGATGGTCTTTCCTTTTTCACATAAATGGCCTCCTTGACTCCTCGCTCAAACCAGAGTTCCTCCCTGTCCAGGATGTGTACATCCCCATCATTGAAAGAGTGGCTACTGGCCTATAGGTGTTAATAGATGGCAGAGTGCTTGCCTGATGAGTTAGCTCTTCTGTGATGTGCCATCCGAGGTCAGAGGTTGTTTGGTTTCCCTGATGAGGAATGGATCACAGCAACCCTCCTGACACTTAACAGCATGCACTACATTATTCTGTGTGTGTCAGGGGACCCGATCCTTGAGATGGACCAGTTTTTGGCGCAGCGCGTTTTGGGGTTTAAAAGCCACAGAGACGCGGTGTTTTGAGAAAATGCATCTAAGCTGTTCAGATACTCCTGACACATAAGGGATCACTAGGGGTGTTTGTTTAGGCAGCAGCTGATCTCTCCTGGATCGCCTTGGAGAATACTTTAGGTGGCTTACCACATTTACTCAGGGCCTTCTTGATATGATGTTCTTCTGCTTCCCTGGCCGCTGTATCTGTGGGGGTGATTTCAGTCATTATGCAAATGTCTTGTTTAAAAAGGTTGGGGAAACCTGCAGTCAGCTGAGACTGAAGAAGCCACTTTGATGACTGACTAAAGATTTCTCACACTGAAAATGCTACGTCCAAATGAACAGAATCAACCTTTGGGGATTTCCTTACCTGGATGATTGAGTGTGCATCAAGGTTAAAGTTGATTTATGTGATGTTCGACAAGTTTTGGACTGAAAGTACGGTGAGACCAGTGGGAGAGGGGGGAAAAAGCTGAGCAATGAGAGCTTTTTTGCAACACTTTGCTTCATAGGATTTGTGTGAAAAATACAAAAACTGCTGCCTGTTGGCTTCGGCTATAACTTGTCTGGTTAATAAGGGTATGCAGTTATGAGACAGTAATTCTAGTTTGATTCTGCAATGTACCGAACATTAACTGTAATGTCACAAATAGTTTTATAAATCATTCACTGTTGGTTAACATATTTTGAGTTGCAGTGTCCTGTTGTTGTTTGTTAATTTTATTTATTTATTGCTGCAGGTGTGACTTGTGTGGGCGCTCCTATCGCCATGCGGGCTCCCTTCTCAATCATAAAAAGACACACTCCGAAAGCCTCCACCACTGCACCTTGTGTCTCCAAACATTTCCCGATCCCGTCACTCTGCAGATACACTCCCAGATGAGGCGTCAATGCTGCCCCGAGTGTGGCAAGACCTTCTGTCTGGTCACCCACCTACAGAGCCACATGGAGGTGCACTCAAAGGACCAGGTTGTGGTCTGCAGCTTGTGCCAGCAGAGCTTTCCCGACGCAGCCAGCTATCAGGAGCACCATAACATGCACCACGTGGCTCAGGACCACTACCAACAAGACCAGGATGACGCTATAGATAACAACCTCTGCTGGGACTCAGGAGTCAGTCAGTCCATGGGAATGGGAGGGATGCACAGTGAAGTTCCACCACCTTTGTCCCATATTCCAGGAAGCATTCCTAATTCAGAGAAGAACAACAACACTTCTGCGACAGAGGAGAAGAGCCACGTCTGTGAGCACTGTGGGCGTACTTACCGTCATGCCGGCTCCCTCCTCAACCACAAGAACAGCCACAAGACGGGCTCCTTCTTCTGCTCAGTGTGCCAGAAGGAGTTCACCAACCTGATGGCCCTGAAGAACCACCGACGGATTCACACAGAGCCCAAGCGCTACCAGTGCCTGGAGTGTGGGAAGGCGTTCCGGGTGTCCACTCAGCTCATATGTCACCGAAGGATACACACCAAAGAGAAGCCTTTTGCCTGCCTGCTGTGCGACAAGAGCTTTTCCAGCAAGTCCAACCTGCGGCACCATCAGAAGATGCACCAGAACACCCAGACCTTCGACTCCTCATTTAACATGGACGCTAATGCATTTATGGACCTTGACATGGGGTCTTTTCTTTAAAGAAGTACTAAATGGCATATAAAAGAAGAGGACATATGGTCCTCATATGCTTGTGTTATTTATCCCTCGATCAGTAATTGTAAAACAGTATTTATTTTTTTTCAGAAAGTGCTCCTTGGTTCTAACAGATGCTCCTTTGAAGATACGCACTTTTCATCACTGACTTCCAGTCTTACCTCCAAAAAAAAAAAAAAAAAACAGATGGTGACATCAATGGGACATCTCCAGAGGGATTGTTAGTCAGCTTTTAATAAGACCTGAATGTTTCCCATGGATACACGGGATCCCTTAAAACCGGGCAGGTGATGAAAAGATTAGTATTCACTCATTCCTCAATGATGAACCAGCCAACCAAAGTGAACAGAGAAGGTTCATGTAAGAACATAAAGCCGATGACACATTTTTGTACAACAGTACTGTTATAACTCTCGCTATGTATAATTGTGTTCAGTGCCTCTGTGAGTTCCCTAGGAAACTAAATATACAAACTGTATATAACTCTGAATCTTTTTGTTAGCTCTGCCATCAGTGTTGAGGGACTGCTCGCCTTCCTCATATCAGGCAGGCCGGTTAATTTTAAGTCAAATACCTCTGGGTGTGTTGAAAGGTCAAAGTGATTAACTGAAACCATATTACGAAATAAATAGTCGTACTGCTAATAATATTCAATATTGACATTCACGTCGAGTGACATCGTATGCTAAAATGGATGTATTTATTAATTTATTCTTATTTTTATTCGCATATTTTATTAGGAAAAACTTTCTGAATGTTGTAAAAGCTGTCTTCTAAAACTCATGTAGCCTTTGAGGGATTTCTCATCAGTCGATTGGTTACTCATTAATTTTCAGAATAGGCAGGACCGAGCGAGCCAAGGATGGTGTGTTATTGTTAGCACTCAGGGTTAACCTTTAAAAGGAACGTACCTGGTGTGTAATACATTCTAAAAAATCTGTTCTCAAACTGAGCATAGTTGTTTTTGTTTTTTTTGTTTTTTTTTCTTTCATCTTTGAAAAGCATCAGTCACATTTCAGTGCCAGTGCCTAAAACGTACATTGATTGTAGCAGTTTGATGTTAACAAACCTCATTTCTCTCTGAGCGTTATACTGTAAATGTTTTTTTCTTTTTCTAATGGTAAATTTAATTTAATTGTAAATTTGTTTAATGTATCTTTGGACCTGGATCTCCTCAGTTCTAGTTACACTTTCATTAAAACAGTCAACACTAGCATTGCACCCATGCTTATGGAAACAGGCAACAAATTAAAGGAGAAACCAACATGATTGCTCAAGGCCCTAAAGTGAGAGCCCTGACACCATCATTTTTATCCTCATCAAACCATTCAGTGACCCACCCACCCACCCACCCCTCTTGGGGCAGTATAACGCGTCACCTCTAAAGGAACAAGAAGACTTAAACATACCAGAAACATTGCCCACCACTTTATATGAATGAGACTGGATCCCTCTGCTGCAGGGATATTTTATTTTTCCTTTTTTTCGCCTGTCTGTCCGCGGCCATAATGCCTCATTTCTACTAAGCACAATTATTAAAATACAAACTTACCAGAGCTTTATTTATAGTGAAAACCGGTTTCATATTTACTGTTCATAAACCTGTTATTGTTGCAAGATGTGCAATTATTTTATTTTTTTTATTATTTTTGGTCAAGTTGTGTAATGTGCCTGTTTTGTTTTTGTTGTTTTGTTTTTTTCTTACACTTTAGACGTCTATCAAAAGTAGACACGCAGGATTTGTTTTTCTAACGTTTTTTTTTTTCTTTTTGTTTGGCACTGGTCATAAAAGCATGAAATACCTCGAATGCCCTGCCTTCCTGACAGACTGCTACTTAAATGCCTCATACAGCTTATCAGTAGAGAATACACTGTAATCGCACGGATGAAGCATCAGACTTAGGGCTTTTAGTTTGTGCAGACAGTTTCCTCCTCACCGCGGTCGTCTGTTTGCAGTTTGTGGTTTTCAGATTTATATTTGCACATGTGTAGACGACACTTGTAGCTTAAGGAGGGCCGTGTTGACAAGCGACAAGTCGGCTGCTTGATGAATCACCTCAGCTAGTGTGCGGGTCGTAACGTTTTAAGCAATATGCTGAAAGTATTGTTTCAGTGCACGAGTCGAGTGCGTCTCATTTGTCTTAACCATTGTATGGAGTCGAGCGGGATCGGATTCAGTATACTGATTCTAATATCACAGCTTGCCTTGTGCCATGTTGTTACATTTTTTTTAAAGTCATTGTGTAACAATCGTAATAATTTAACTGACCTCACTGTCAGATTTAATTTTTTATTTTTTATTTTTTTGTATGCCACAGTAGCCTGTAAGATGTCAAACGATACATGCACACTTGAGTTAAACTGACTTGTTTTTGCACCGCATTCTTGGTCTCACCTCATTTGGCACTTAACCTTTCGCACTGATCTGTCATTGATCACTATCACAGTCTGCTGTTGTGGTTCGTGTTTAATTTCAGTGCGCTGTATATATTAGAACGAAGATGATGATTGGATCTCTGTAAATTTAATGGTTTTTTGTTTTTTTGCATTTTCTTCAACAGAAGAAAACTGCTAGATTAGCTATTGTGTAATAAAAATACATATACCACATGTTCTCATTTATTGGATTTCAGTGTTAAAATATATATCTGCTTAGTATTTAATTAATATTTATATAACTATTTTGTCACTCTAAAGCGTAGATTTTTACTTCTTTGTTAGAACTTAGTTTAGAAAAAAATGAGAAAATTATTTAAATTTAGGTGAAATAAATTAAAAGACTTGGGGGGAAAAATGTGTTTGTTGTCCAAGTTTTTACACTGCTGAAGGTTGAAGTACTTTTCCGATGGCCGCCCCTCCCTGAGCCTGGTTCTGCCAGGTTTCTTCCTGTTAAAAGGGAGTTTTTCCTCCCCACTGTTGCCAAAGTGCTTGCTCACAGGGGTTCATGAGATATAAAGCTCCTTGAGGCGGCCATTGTTGTGATTTGGCGCTATATAAATAAAGTTGAATTGAATTCAAAGAAAAACACTTGCAGCAGTGATGGAAATTGTCAGTTTTATTGTGAAAATACATTTGCTACACAAAAAGCAGTTTATAAAGATTGCATTAAGTAAAAGCCAGTGCATTTACATTATATACAAGAAGAACTAGAAGGCAAGAGAAACAAGTAGAAAATGTTATATTGTTCAGTATAGCTGGCCTGGTGGACGTTTTGAAAAGATCTTCACTGGTGTCTCTTTAAAACTGTGCTTGTCTGTCACATTTGTTGCATTACAACAGCTCAACATACTAAAATAAATAATATAGACCTCTTTTAAAAAATAAGAAAAGAAATAAACAATAAAACAGACAATATAAATGGTTCCCCAATTTTGTTGCCAGAGGCTTCACCCACAAGCAGACAGATCCGTGACCTGAAACATTGTCGGTGTCGAATTATCGCAAGGAAAAAAAAAACATTTAAAAAAAAAAGCTGAAGACAACAACCCTGTCCGCTGTGGTTCGTGTTGGCTTCAGCGGCAACAAAATTACAGACCACTGCAGTTGCAACCATCCTTTCTTTTTTCTTTTTTGCCTTGCTGCAGATCTGAAAAGCGCTGTGATTGCTGAAGCTCTGTTTAAAACACTGTAGGTGTAGTTAGTTTTCCTCTCTGCAGTACATTCCTCACAACATTCTCACATGTTAGCAGTTTGGGGCTGTACGTCTAGTGTTTCAAGCATCCTGGGTTACAAAGCGCTGCTGCAACAGTCATGTGAATTCAGGGTTTGTTTTAGGCAAAAATGATATCTAAACTCTAAATGAAATAAAAGAAAAAAAAAACAGACAAGACAATATTTTAGAGACCTGCAATAAATGGTCTGTGTTGGTCTCAGGAGACCCAGTAACAGTGCATGAGTACAGTTTGCTCCTTTACTCAACAGCGTTCTCACTGCGTCAGGCAACTACAAGAACAGGTACTGGCAGGAACAAAGGTTGGAGTACAATTCACCTAAAAAGATTTTTTAAAAGGTAGCTACATTCATATGGCCTTAATGTGCCAAACAGTATGTGTTACTCACATGTGATCTATCTTTCAGAGGCTGTTGTGGTAAATGACCAGCAGAGAGGCCCTGTGTTACCCCGCTGAACGGCAGGGGGGATCAAACTGTGGCCCAGCTGGCGGATGTAGCTGTGTTACATTCACTGGAGTCCTGCTGAAAACAGCACAACGCAATGCAGGCGTACAGACTCTAGTTTTACGGTTAATTCTCAGTCAAACCTGCCTAACCCCCCCCAATGATCCAGATCAAAATCTCAACGGAGTGGAATATGAAGGCACACAAGTTCTAAAAGATGATACCACTAGTATAATGCTGTTAATATACCTACAGAGGTGTGAGATTTGCTCATGGCAAGTCCCGTCTTAACCACTGGACCTACACCAAGCATGAGAACTGAGCTTATCTCTTCACCAACCAGTCTAATAAATAAAAAAAAAATAAAAAGGGTCCATTTCTGGTCGAGGTATACCCTGCAGTCAGAGTACACGGTTCGTCGTTCAGAGGTTTCCTCCTCCCGGCTAGTAACCAGTGGCTCCTTGGTTCTGTTACATCAGTTTTCAGAGGACGATGAGGCTGTGGGGGCAGTGACAGCAGTTTAGTCCACCTCGCTTTACAGTCACATTTTCAAAAGTGGACCCATTATTATGGTTTCCCACTCTGTGATTTTTATTTTTCACATTAGCATTGAAGGAGTCGCAGTTCTTTGTGTACGCCGTCTGAAATAACACTTGTGCCTCTTTCTACCTTCAAGCCAACTTTCTTATGATTGGCTGCACCACACAGCGAGAGAGTCATGTGATACTTACTGAGTGGTTTAAGCTTGATAAAGTGGCCCCGCAGTTTCTTCGATAGGTTCTGTAATAAATGAAGATTTTAAAAAATGAATGAGCATTTTAAAACAATGTTTTTGACGCTCCTCCAAAACATTACGACAGCTGTGACAACACAAAGGGCATCAAGAATTTAGTTATCCTTTTCCTGCTGTTAGAAAGGCCCCGGTGAATCTGAATACAATAAAATACATCCTGAGCCTTTTGTGACTCAGCTGCAGAGTCTTCACACCAAAAAACAAAAAAACAAAACAGGAGCAGCACACACTGTTCTCGCGTTTACCAAGAACTGCTTTACACCAGAGACGCCAAACAATTTTTAAGAGGATTACCTAACCCCGTCCCAGAAATCATAATTGCATGCGCAAATGCTGCTCTTACCACTGATACTCAGTAGCTGACGGAAACTACGAAACTACGTTTAATTCATAATTACAAAATAATGCACAGCAGACTAGCCTTCCCTAAGCATCCTCCAGTTTTTCAGATTTCTCCAGGATCAAAATAATCTAGAGATCGTTCCCAGCACACAGCGGGAAAACAACTGTAAGCAGTGAACTTCATTTCCCTTCATTTTACACTAAAATAATGCATCAAAGGAAACACCTTTCTCCTGCGTCTTACCACGTAAAGGCCGTTTGTGCGACTTGCGTCGATGCACCATGACCCCGATGATCAGTGCAGCGCTGACCAGCACCACAGCCAGTACTGAGAAGCTGGTGATTGCTGCCAGTTTCCACACGTCAGGTGTCTCATCCACTGATTTGCCTATTTAAAAAAAAAAAACACCATTAGAATTCCACTTTAACACCAACACTTTTGTGTTAAACACAGCTAAAAGAAGCCATTTGGTTTTTTTTTATTGGCAATTAATGTCAAAACTCACCAATATAAATGACAAGAAACCGAAAATTTGGTTCACATCTTTTCTACGACAGATTGCTTTACTAACAGGCTGAAGAAGAAGGCATTCTTTGGGTAAGTGCAAACTAGTTTTTAATAATAATTTCACTTATTAAGGGGAAACCTCTCCAAACCTACATGGCTCCATGTGAAAAGGTATTTACCTCCTAAACCTAATAACTGGTCCTGCCACCTTATCTGGCAATGAGTCTTCTCATCGCTGTGGAGGAATTTTGGCCCACTTTGTGGAATCATTTTAATTCATACTGGAGAGTTGTCCATTACCAACAGCCTGATTAAGGTCATGCCAAAGCATGTCGATCTAATTTAAGTCCTGACTTTGATGAGGCCACTCCAAAATGTTGCTGTCTCCGGGTCATTCGGAGGTGGACTTGAGCTTGAGTGTGCTTGAGCTTCAGGGTACAAGCTGATGGCTGCACGTCCTCCTTCTGGATTTTCTGGCACAGAGCAGAATTCATGGTTCCATCAATTACAGCAGGTTGTCCTAAAGCAGCAAAGCAGCCCCAGACCATCATATAACCATCACCATGTTTGACTGTTGGTATGATGTTTTACACCAGCTGTAACGGGACTCAAACCTTCAGCTTTTGTGTCGTCAGTTCCACAGATTATTTTTCAAACGTCTTGAGGATCATCAAGATGTGCAGTCTCTTTCTTATTGTTGAATCATGAACTCTGACCTTAACTGAGGCAAGTGAGCCCTGCAGTTCTTTAGATGTTGTTCTGGGGTCTCCTGGGTGAGTTATTGATGTGCTCTTGGGGTAATTTTGGTAGGTTCCATGTTTTCTCCATTTGTAGATAATAATGGCTCTCACTGTGGTGCACTGGAGTCCCAAAGCCTTAGAAAAGTCTTTGTAACTCTTTCAGTCTGATAGATGTCGGAGACTTTGTTTCTGAGCTGTTTCTTCAGATCCTGCAGGATGTGTTACTTTTTGAGATCTTTTAGCCTGCTTCACTTTGTCAGAAAGGTTCTGTTTAAGTAACTTCTTGATTCAGCAGGTCTGGCAGTAATCAGGTCTGTGTCTGGCTCATGAAATGGAGCAGAACCTTCCAAAAAATTGTTTAATCACAGTTAATTATTGATTTAACAAGACAGGGCAGTTAGTTTTTCACACAGGGGCAGGTTGGTTGCGATAGCTTTTTCCCCTTTAATAAATGAAACCTTCACCAAAATACTTCATTTTGTATTTTCTCAGCTCATCTTTGTCCAATATTAGAATGTGTTTGATGATCTGAAACATGTAAGTGTGACCAGAAATCAGGAAGGGGGCAAATAATTTTTCACGGTAGCTCTAACACTCGACAAGCAAGTTTTAACAGATGTTTTAACAGATGCGACTCAGTGGCTCACATGTGTTGCAGGACGGGGTTTTCGGGTACTGCTTGCATGATTCACAGGGCAAGCAACCATCATAGTCTGAGCTCCAAAACTCCGAGCTCCGACACGGACCTGCACACACAGAGAAGCAGGTTAGTCGTGACATTTCATTTCCGGTCATTATCTCAAACCTTACACTGTAATCCTAGAAGGTAACCAAATAAACCATAATCAGGTGGTTTGAAGGAGAAATTAGGTTTCCATCCACTTATTACAGTAAAAACATGTGACCTGAACAGGACATCTAATGATTTCTCTTCTCATAAAGTGAAACTGGGAAATTCCTTTGTGGAGAATCTGTCGGTGCATCTCATCTGCACGACAGACAAGTAGTCGGTTTGGCGTGCGTGAACATTCGGGCCATGTGTGTGAAGAGCAGGATGTGCTTTCACAGAGTGCTTCCGTCGAATTGTCTTATGCGCGTTTATGCGCAACTTCCAGAGAATAAATTTGCATCTGTGAGAAAAAGAAGTGGCAGTTTGGTTTAGCGAGACAGAAAACGTCTACCTCCACAGCCACGATGGACAGCTTAGTTTCTTTTTCCTGGCAGTCAGCCAGGCGGACAATTAAAGCCGTGCACTTCCTAGATGATAAGGAAAGGACAAGGCTAAAGATGTGAGACAGGCTGAGAGCAGAAGCCGTTTTATTGTTTTAAAAGTGTGCGGTTTTCTCTCCAGCTTTAACATCCTGCATTTGGTTAAGAAACACATATGCACTAATGCCCTGAAGACATGCATGAAGTACGATCTCTGCAAAAACAATATTACAACACAAAGTCAACCTAATGAGGTCAAACAATACCAGACATGACAGCATTACAGATAACAACAAGGAAACCGCTCAGAGACACTTGATAAATGATGATAATCATTCCTCATCAAATGTGTAAGACACGCATTTGCATAGAATTAAAAAAAAACATATTTTATGCTCAACAATTTTAACAAGAAACTACCCGAGTCATGATTTGTGGTAACATTTCATAACTGCTGGCTTTAACCACCGCTGACAGCAATAGCAAAACTCACAGAGGTGAACCTGACGCATATCAAAGTAGGGAAATGAAGGCATAGGAAACTGCGGCAGTAACATGTAACAAATATATTGCTACACCGAGCTCAGGAGACGATGCACCGCCTCATCAGTGCTGGAGCAGACAAAGGGGAAAGTAGAAACTACAACAGATCAGGCAGGCTTGGAGAAAAACGAAACAAAGAAGTGATGAATACCAATATGAAGTAAATCTCTTTAGTACTGTGCTATGGCTGAAGTATTCAAATCCTTTACTCCTGATCACAAGACCTACTCTGTGGTTCAAAAGCCTGAGTTAAAAAGTAACATAAAAGTATTATCAGCAAAGTGTGAAACAAAGTTGCAGCAAATGAAGTAAAATAGATCCCACATTTAATAATGTGTCAATTTAACGAGCATCAAACAGTTTACATAATAAAGACTCTTGAAGTGATAATTCACTCTAGTTGAGGAGGAGTAATTAATAGGCTTTGAAACAAAAGCGTAGTATCTATGGTTCAGCCCTAATAATGTCACCGTGACATTATTAGGCTTATCTCGGCTTTGCCTCAGAGGTGTGTTTTTTTTTTCTTTTTTCTTCATAAATATTTTACCAGAAGTCATCATAGCAAACAGGAAGCGTGACATTAAAATATTCTTAGTATTTAGGATGCACTTCAGGTCAAACCAGAGCTTGCTACCTAAGAACTCGTCACATTACTGATGCTTGGTTTCAACATTTTTTCCAACATTCAGGGGTAGTGCTCCAGAGCAGCACCTTCTTGGCTGAAAAGATATTGAAAACAAAACAAAAAAAAAGTCTGCATGAAGAGGCTGAAGCCGGCTGGAGGACTTCCACCCAGGAGACAGATCTTGCCCTCCATTCTGGGAATGCTATTTTTTGATGGGTGTTGTTGTTTTTTACTTTTGTCAGTTGCCGTGTGGTTGGGTTTACGCATCAAACCTACTTTGTTAGGCTTATGAAAAGGTCATGGTTTCAGTTAAAATACATTGTTTCACAATTCTAACCACAGGTTGGAAGACAAACTAGCTATGGTGACGAATCACTCAACAATGACGACACCAGCAGGGAACATTCGGGTTCAGTCTCTGGACATCTGTTTTCAGATGATGAGTTAATTCAGTTCAGTTCAACTTTATTTATATAGCTGCAAATCACAGCAACAGTTGCCTCAAGCTGCTTTATGTTGTAAAGTAACAATAAACATTAATACAGAACCCTGTATAAGCAAACACTTAGCAACAGTGGGAAGGAAAAACTCCCTTTTAACAGGAATAAACTTGCAGCAGAACCAGGCACAGGGAGAGGCAGCCGTCTCCATCATGGAGACAGGACAAAAGACAGAGGGACGTCTGTTGAAGGCTATCAGAGCTTGCACATTGAAAATCTGTGCTTAAGGGGTAAAATGCAAGGGGCCCTGACCATAGCCTGTAGATAAAAGATGGCCACAACCACTGTGACATCACTGACGGGGATTTATCTCTTGAAGTCTCAAATTTAGTATTTCAGACTCAACATCTTAATTTTTTTAAATAAAGATGCCATCATATGAATATTCAGACCATAGCAGCTTAAATTCATAAGCGAGCCGCACAGTGACGCATCCACGGCTTTGGTGTCAGTTTTATTTTTAATGGCAACCATAGTTTACAAAATGAACATCAGGTTGTATTACACGAGTCGCCCCCTGCTGGCCATTAGAAAGAATGGTTACAGAAAGTATAAGAAGCTACCAAATGAGAATGAAGGAGGAACTCTGGGCTAAAAAGCTGTCACATCTATGCTGCTGATTAATGAAAGCTAAATATTAAAGAAGACAAATGTTTCTGTGTTGCGGGATGTGGAGAGCACTGGGCCAAATCCACCAGTCCAAACTGAACCTTACTTGGGAAACATTTTACATTCACTTCATTTGTCTCATCAGTCACAGCTTGAAGAAATCCAGAGTTAACTCTGAGACCTGCATGAGTATGCCGCTGTATGGTTTTTTGAGTACAGGTCATTGTTAGACCATCTGTAGTCAAAAGCCACCTGCTCACACACTCATGTTTGAAACATTTTGACCTCCTTTGACTTTGACTCTCTGGTTATATTACAGCCACATGCTCAGGCCCTCAGAGACTCTCCGTCCTCCACAGCCAGTCTCCCTCCAGGGTTTGACTGACTCATTTTATAGCTCTGGTCACAGTAAAAAAATGTGTCACAGTCCTTGTAAAGCATTTCTCCTCATGATTTCAGCACTACATCATGCAGCTGGACTTCGGCACAAGAGTTCAAAAGGTAACTGGAAGGAACTGAAGCCTGACTGCTGGGTGACCTCTGCAACCCGAAACTTGATGGGACTGATAACATTTCAAGCATTAAGCTAAAAGGTTAAGGAGCTGAATCATTCATCTCTACATCTCTTTAATACCACAGGTGTTTCTTGTGGTTAAGTTTTTCAAATCAGTGTGGAGTGGGAGAGAAAAACCAAAATGTTAGTCAAAAAACAAAACAAACAAAAAAACCTAAGAGACCTTGGCAAGTCTCAACACCTAGTCTGACAAAGGGTGTTTTGGGTGTGGGGGTGTTGTATTTTGTCATGAACTGGAAGGGGTGGGTGGATCAACAGCTGATGTCCAGATGTAGAGAAGATTTCCCACAGATAGAATCAAGATTAAAGCACAGGGTTTGCTGTTAGTTCTTTGGAAACGCATTTGGCACTTTAATGCCTGAGGAAATGGCCCTAACCCATTTAATTATTCAGAGTTTTATGTTCTTGGTGCACTCTGCGCCTGGTGTTCTCCGGTGGGATTAAGACTTAAAAACTTCAGAGCGCTGTGGAAACAAAGTTAAAAAGCTGGGTTTTCTGTTTTTTCGGGTTTTGTTTTTTTCGAGGCCCTATAAACGTGTCTTTGTCCAAAATGGACACAGGCGGTAGAGCATTTCCATGTGGCTTGTCCTTCTCACCGAGAGGCTCGGATGGATGAGGTGAAATAAGGCGATCGGAATGCGGAACCGGTGAGAAATGCAGCTGGTAAAGGAAGCGGCTCTGTAAGCAGACCCCACTATCTGACTCCATTATAAGCAGAGCAAACCACCAGACTCTGACCAGTATTCACGCAAAAACACGCCAGCACTTATGAATTAAAATTTAGGAATAAGAATAAAAAATGGGAACATTTAACGCACACGAGGTATTCCCCTGCTCTTTCCTTCTTTTAGTAAAGGTTGTTTTCCCAAAAAAAAAAGGTGAGGGAGGGGAAAAAAACGTATTTCACTTACTTTTCTGCGCGCTCACACCATGGAAAGTGGTCACCGCCGCAATAATAAGTCCGCAGAACGCGCAAAGAGCGTTTAAAGCCATGATGTCTGCGGAGGGAAAGCTGCTCGCTGTCGGCCACACAATTCCCGAAAGTTCATCTGATTAACAGTCCGTGCTGGTTTTCAGCATGGAAAAGCGAGCATCAGAGTGAGTCATACGGAGGAGTCTGCGCCTTGTTTTAATAGCGCGCACACACCCACGCTAACAGCTCCACTCCTATGAGTCATTTCCTATGTACTGTACTGCTCGGATTCTCTGTGCGCACTCCCCGACTCACAGGAAACTCCAGTGCCATAAAGTGTGGTTGCATTTGTTTCAGTTCGAGTGAAAGTTTTTTACCACCTCAGGTATGAGAGTTTCAATACTAAATGTCATATTTTAAGGGCACACCCTGCATTTTTTCTCCCCTTCTCTCTATTTCTCCGAGACCCCGCGTAGTCTGGACTTAATAGTGTTCTCATTGTTATTACCACGCCTGTCGACGTCACCCCGTCCTCCCTGCCAAAAAACACAACTCTCTGGCATGAGTCTGGGTCCCATACACAGAAAAAGGGAGGAAACAGCAACCGAGGCAAAAACAGATGACACTCAGTAGAAGAAAGAAAAAGAAAAACATCTATGTTTTTTTAAAGATATTTGGAAATTCTGCTTAAACTTCAAGTAAGATGAGGTTTATTTGTGTCCACTCTTCAGCCCTCTGCTGAAACACAACAGCTCTGTGATGGTCTGGAGACTGCGTTTGAATAGGAAGAGTCCCTGTTATTAATGCCTGGAGCTGGGTGTAGCCTGCTGCTGCTGCTGGAGCACAAATATGCAATAACAAAGCCAGTGGACGCACGCTCGGAGAGCCATCAGGCTGGCCTCCGTCACAGCATTATCTCATCATACATTAATAAAAACCACATCGGTTGATGCACACGGGCATACAAGTCTGCTGATTTATTCATGGCATCCATATGTATATACTCACATGAATTCAAACAGCCAGTGCCCAGGTATTCAAGTATCTAATTATTTTGGCGCACTTGGAGCCAATTCTCAGGGAAGGCTGGGATAACACTTCCCAAATGCCCCATAAAGCCTCTTTTTCACATATTCACTCTTCTTCTATGCAGCCTGGAAGTTTTTTTTATGTGTTTGTAACATGGTGCAAACTGCCTTTCCCACACAAGCTAACGTCAAACAGACGCTAACCAACCTCCCACTAAATAGCTCACATCATCAGATCAGAGAGAGAGAGAGGAAAAAAAGTCGTTTTCATTGGCTCAATTATGTTCGACGCATGTTGTTGCACAGATGTTTTTCTACTTGACTGTCACGGCTAACCTTTAGGAAAGCGGTCTAAAGAGGACCTGGAGCAGCAGAGCCCACTAAGGACACCCATATGAGCCGACTTTCCACTGCAGTGATTTCATCGGTAATGAGGCACTATAAGCTGCAGATGTTGTGTCAAACTCTCAGGCAGGAACCATGGCAACAGGATGAACACACACAGAGGACCTTGCCCAAGGTGATCCAAACACTCCTGCATGTGCTGAGTGGGAGCCAAACTAGCTGATGTCTCTCAGGCATTGTTAATACTATAGCATAACTAAAGACGTAAGGCAGCTCTGGCTGTTTTACTTTATATATTAGAAACATATTTAGTTGTAACCATGCGAGCCTGGGGGCTGTAAAGAACGACTTCTTTTAATTTGTGAGTTTAAACTTCAGCTTCAATGACTTTATGGGACCTCCAAAAAACCAGCAGGACTTAAACAATTCAAAGCAATATTTCAAGATGATCGAACACAGTTCACTGCAGTTCCAAGTTTTTAAAACGATACATTAAGATAAAAGAGAGAGAGAGAGAGACTGCAAAAGTGGGTCCGGTATGTGAAAAAGAGACCATTTTAACACAGTAAAGAACAGCAAAGACAGGAGAACAGTGCCGAGCAGCTCAACTTGTAAGAGAAAAATCACTGTGCACGAAAAAAACTGTTTATTAACTACAAAACAAACACTCAGTCCGATGTGTCACTAAAACCCTTTTCAGACATGCACTCATGAGCAGGCCTGCTTTCAGTCTGACTCAGCACCCTGATCACTTTTTCACAGCAGCAAACTCACTAATTTGGACCTAACAACCTTGATCACTCACTAAAGTCTTATGAATTTACATTGCAAGTTGCTCAGCTCACTGCAATGCTTTTGACACCAACAGCATGTGCTTAAGAACGTTTTTTTTTTCCATTTAAAATAAGATTAAAAACACTCCTCCATGATGCTTTTTTCCCCCCATTCCCAATTCAGAAGAGTGATTGCTCTCGGAGTGGGCGTGATCGGGGTGGGAGGATTTTGTTATCATTTGCTGCAGCGCGTGCTGACTCAGAAACCCTGCTCTGGGTGACAGCAGGTAAGACGACTAAACGTTAGGGAAGTGTGGAGCGTACAGTGGCTCTCTGCGTCACTGTAAAGCCGTTAGGAGCATTAACAATGACCCGTGTTTGACTGACAGGATGTCGTGCATTTAATGTCTGAAAAGGGCTTTTCTGTTTGGTCACCAACTTAATGAAAAAAAATAACCAAGATGGATTAAAACAAGTCCTTCCAAAGAGATTAAAAACAGGGGACACACTCATCTGTGATCCCAGAAATGTCTGCCTCTTTGAATAAATCTCCAGTTCCTTTATCACTTTTCTATTTATTTCTCCCCTTTGGTTCTGTCTACTATTTTCTGTAGTCACGCCTTGTTTTCTTCTTCTTCCAGAGTGACTTAAGTGATGTAGATGCGGTGGAAGTCGTTGGCTCCGAACGCACAGTTGCACTTGGGGCACTTCCTCTGTCGGGTGTCGTAACGCATCTTCAGACATTCGTAGCAGAAAACGTGGAAACACTTGGTGAGCACCGTCTCCTTGTCTCGGGTGTTACAACAGGGGCAACGCAGCTTGGCCTGAAAACAGACAAACACACATGTGTATGGGCCATATGTGAGCTCAGTCATTACCTAATTTTCCTGAGTAATATAACTACTACTCAAGGGTATAACAAACAAGTTTCATGTCCCTGAAGCGCAGACAAATCACTGAATGGCCCGTGCTCACAACTGAAACACAGCCAGTAAAGCAAATTCCAAAGCCGGAGCATTTGCATTAATTTTACTAGACAGTTATGTTTTATGTAGCTATCCAACTTCAGACTGTGCCTGGGAGCTATTGGTGTTTTTGTGTTCTCTGCACACAGCCTCCTCTTTCTCACCTTGTACTGATTGATCTCCTCCTGCAGAATCTCGTCTGCATCCGAGTACATCTCCACCTTCTTCTGTTTCTCCAGCTTCCTTCTGAGCCTGGACAGATCCTCCTGTAAGGACAGTATCCCCAAGATGTTAGACCTGCATCCTCCAATCAGAGCTTTAGATTTGGAGTGACACTCGCAGTGCATGCATACCTGTGCTCGCTTCAGGTTGCTGCTCTCCCTCTCCCGGGCAGTGCGGTTCTCAGCCACAGAGACTTGGATCTCCTTCAGCTTGGCCTGCGTGTGCTCCAGCTGCACCTTCAGGTCCTCTGCCAGCTGTGCGGCCTCCACTGCCTGCAGCGAGGAAGGAAACAGGCGCACTCAATAAAAACACCTAACGATGACAAGTTTCAGATGTAATGTGGCGGTGGTACGGTGAGCATTATGAGTTTTTAGGCTATTCTTCAACTCTGTTTCGATTACGTAAGCAGTCCCTTTATCGTGTTTTGGGACTCATTTTAATGTTATTGGTGACTGTTCTTATTTGTGGGCAAAAAAATAAAAAAATAAAAAAATAAATAAAAATCCTTATATGCGACAAGATGACCTCAATAACTTTGTCTCAGTGTCTGCAGTGCTTCCCATCAATTACCAGAAACATCGAAACCAAAACTACTTGAGAAAAAAAAAAGGCAAATGTGGCCACAGGGACAAATTCTGGGTCTAATATTTGAACTTTTTACATGCTTAAATGCTTAAATGACAATGAGAGCCTGTGCTTTTGGCCTGCAGCCCCAGTGTTAGTGTGGAGTGATTACACTGGCTTGTTTTGGGTCAACATAAACAGGGGTCTTCTAAAGTGGATTCTCTATATAAAACATCCTTCTGATTGATGGTCCTCCTCACCTTCCTCTTGTTCAGCTCTAGTGCTTGTGTTCTGACAGCCAGTTCCTTTTCCAGAGCCGCCAGGGTGCTCTGTAGGACTCCCTCTTTTTCTTCCAATTTCTGCACAACCAGCAGCTGGGCATCCACCTAAAAGAGGGAGCAAAAAGTAGCCAGCGAGTGCTTCACTGCCCTGACCCAATTTTTTATTTATTTATTTTTAAACACACAAGTGCTGCCTTGTCAGGTTAAAGTTGTACCTCACCTGGGTTTTGAAAGCAAGAACTTGGTCAGCCAGCTCCTCCTTCTCCTCTTTCAGCAGCTTGTAGATCTGGTTAGATTTAATTCGCTCGCTCATTAGCTTAAAATTGGCATCGTCCTTCTCGCGCAACTGCTGCAACAGCCGGCTGTTCTGCTCCTGCATGTCTTCAAAGGCCTGGCCTGTTACATCCATCTCACTCAACAGGGCTTCCTCCTCCTGAAAAACACATGCGTCAGATATTAAAAACAGTGAAAAGAGTGACAGTCAGCTGTGCTGCTTCTGCCCTCCAGTTTATGAAACAGGCGGGGCTCGATTTCAACAGCAGTTTTCAGTCTTTAAGATAAGAATGTGACGAGGACACGCAGGTTTGACCTCCAACAGTACCACTTCTAAATAACTGTAAAAGAATCACAAGGATTTAATTTTCCAAACTACTTTCTGACGACTCAAAGACATAAACAAAGACGCTTTTCTTTTTCCCCCCCAGTTCTGAAAACCTGTGCATCCTTGATCAATGTGTCATCAAGAATGAGCAACTTGCTGAGCTCTTTTCATTTGGGGATGCCATCCTATCTTACATTAAACTTATAGTCACCCATCACTAGTTCATGATATCAAACTAGCACAGAATTTGGACATCCAACTCATTTTACATGGCCTACCACACACAACCTGTTTTGATCTGAAGTCGAATTAATCAAACTCCACTTTCTGTCAGTGTAAAGACATTTACCTACACAGTTAACCCATGAGACGTCTTAATATAAGAAAAAGTGCAATTTCTATAGATGGTGAAAAACAGAAACCTTTCTGTCTTTTAGCTGTTTATCTGTTACTACGTTGCTACTGTATGAATGGCTGAGGGTAGGTCTTAATTAATAGGAAAAGCTGTAAAAATTAAGAAAACCGTTAAAATTCCAAAAATGTATTTTCCAATACTTTCCAGGGGCTGGACTGGAGTCGTTGCCGGGCCGATTCTGGGCCCCGGGCCTCGTTTTTGACAGCCCCTGGTCTACAGCTCGGAAATGCTTCCCTTGTCGCCTTATTAATTTTCACTAAAAGCAGTTGTAATTTGATTTTATGATTGTATAATATACTCTAGAGAACAAATCATTTCATAAAGCTTTTACTAACATTATGACAAGCTCCAGCACTAAAACAAAGTTGTTTTTGGGATAAAGATGGCTTTTCCCCAGCATTAGCAGTGCTGCTCAACAGCTGTTCAACACTACTGACAAAAGAGAAGCATTTAGTTAAATGCATAAGTTATGCATCAAAAAATAAAGGGGGGAAAAGCCTTATACTTGTACACAATTATCTGCTTCTTCTCTTGAGACTATGATGCACATTAAGATCAATTAGCTGAATTTTCATGTAGGTGGTGTTTGCAGCTCAGTGGGCAAAAAGCAGAAGTTTGACACAGTACACTGGACTAAGAGCCACGATTTTAGGCCACTCTCCCTCTCTTTTTAATGAGTCAGTCAGTTCTGAATTGAATCAAGATACTGCCAAAGATTCCCACCCTACTATTCAAGACTGCGGACGTCTCAATACAGACACACCTGGTTTGTTTTTAGGTAAAAAATTAGCTTTGCTTTATTTGTAAATTTTGGTTCAAGCTGGGTTTTTTTATGAACCAGCTAGGGCCTATAAACAAAAGTCAGATGAACTCATAAGTAGCCTGTTTATTAGATAGTTTTGGCAGTTAAATTCTGGCAGCCGAGGACCGAGGGGAACAAATCAAACACATCTGACACCACTGGAGTTTTAGTTGCTGCGCTTTAACTTTATACCAGATATTAAGGCAAAAGTGAAAAGCTGAATAAATATTTCACTGCAGGCTGTGTTTTACCTCCTGTTAATTATGTTCTGCAAGACCTCCCAAGCATGAGGACATACAGACCATCAGAGCTCAACATCTGTTTTCTTAATGTTCAGTTATTTGCACCAGAATTCACCATTTCTTGGCTGACATAGGTGAAGATAGTGATTAACATTTATTCATAAACCTCTCCTACTCACAGCAAAATTAATATCATGACAAGAAAAAAAAAAAAAGCATCCCATTATCTAATATGGGTGTAGCCACCATCTATGCAGAATAACAGTGACATGACTTGAACAGCGTTTAACCCAAGGCAGATAAAGATTTGAATGTCATGAGTATCTGCCCTCTTATTTTCTGCATTTTCTTACAAATGAAATTCCTTAAGTGTTTCAACATTTGCATGACAGCACAGCCAAGTGAGTGAGCTCAGAGTGCTTTGCATACTGAAAATTTATCACATTGGATCAACCCCAAAAAAAAAAAAAAAAAAATATATTATATATATATATATGCCCCCACCCAAAATGAATTCTCTCTGGTCTAAAATTGTTCCCCTTAAACTGTCAGGATAATCATGGCACAGTGTTGCTGCGAGACAAGAGGGTGAATATTTCTGCTAGATAGCATAAAGTTTCAGTTGCTTTTCAAAGTGACCAGAACATCAGTGGCATAGCAGCTCACCTGGCTCACAATTCACCGGTTAGTATAAAGTGTTGAGTACAAAAAGAAAGTGATAAGACTGTATTGCACAAACAGCCATATCCAGGACACAATAACCTTGCTCTATTAAAGCGTTTAAGTTCAGGAGTCTGGTGACCACATGATCATTAGTAACCACAGCCACACAAAGCATGCACATGCCCAAGTGCTGACCATACTACTTATGTTAACACAATGGTGATAGGAAGGCACAAAACATCATGGGAGTCAGCCATCAGGACCAAGGTCATGATCATCACCATACAACACAGGATAATGGTTTTATGCACCGAGTGGGCAAAGTGATCTTTCAAGCTATTTCAGGAAATTCACTCTTTATCAATGTGTGCATGCAAAATGTATCAACATTGAGATTTTGTTCGGAAAACATTCGATTCAGTCAACATCCAGTGAGAATCTGATGAAGTTGTAAGCAGTGTGCATGAAGGCTTTGCTAAAAACAACAATTATGACCCTGATCCTGATCATTAGTAAAATTAGAGTGAAGAGCAACCAACACTCTAAGAATAACAATTCTTGTGAAATATGGACAGACTAATCATGACATAAGCTTATGTTATGCAAAATGAACAACAAATTTAGACTGTATTGTGCAAGAAAACCTTTGCACATTTACGTCGAAGAGGAAGAAAGAGAGAAATGACGGTGCTAAAAAAAGAAAATCTGTTTATCTTTGTTTCATTAGAAATTTTTACCATTTGGGAACTTTAACCCGCCAGCTTTCTAGTACAAAATCTGCAGTTTACATCCCAGTGAAAACACTTTGTCCTGTCTCCAGTGAACCAGGTCAAAACAGACAACTACAGACAATGTGCTGACATTTCAGCATTTCAGGTGTTAAGAGAGCTGTTGGTACTCCAGCAAAGACAAATGCTTTTAAGTGCCACTAGACACGTATCTCCTAACACTGAAATTGGGAGTGCCTACTAAAAAAGGGCAAAAAAATAAAAAAGTAAAAATTGCAAAAGAAATTTGAGTGCATGGATTATCAAAGGGCTGGTGCCAGTAACAATAATCGTGACAGCTCAAAACATTACCAGCAGGTTAGCATTAGCATACTCAGCTGATCAGAGCCAGGCCACAGCGTAAGCTTTCAGTTCCTCTTTGGTCGTCTAAGATTAGTAGAACTCCTTCCTTAGGCAAATGCAATACTCACTGCACTACTTTCAATCTTAACACCGCTGATTGTTTATATTCAACGCCGGTGGAATCCCCAAAAGCTTAAATATGGCATTTTTATAAGGTTTATGGTTCAAATATTTTATTAGGTACAAAACTCGTCACATGGAAGACAAAGAGCTTAGGACGAGCTTCTTAGGCATCACGTTTTGCCGACATTAACTTTTTATAAACTGGAAAGTAAAAGAGAAATAACGAGGAGGTAAAAACACAGGTTAAGGTGAAGTGCTCTGAGAAGATTACCACTGCACCACCCACCCACACACACACACACACACACACACACACCTGTTTAGTGGCAGCGAGTTTCTTCTGCAGGTGCTCAATGGTCTCTTCTGCCACTCGTATTTTCCTGAGGGCGTCTTCATCAGCCAGTTTTTTGCTCTCCTTCCTCTCCCTCTCCTCGAGCTCTCGCACTCGCATCCTCAGCTCATCCACCTGGACCATAAGAGACAGAGAGCTTACTTTGTTTTGTTAAATATCTAACCTACCAGTTGCTCTAAAAAGCAAGTGAAAGAGTACAAACGGAAAGGAAAAACAAAACAAACCTCAGCTTTAGATTTGCGTTCGGCCGCCATCAGCTGCACTTTATCTCTTTGCTCCTTTGGCGCTGACTTATACATGTCCAGCAGAAGTTTCATCTCTTTCTGGGACTCTTGGGCTTTCCTGATTGGTTAGAGATTACATTAAAATAAACAGTCATGGCATTTTAATTAGCAGAGTGCTTCTAATTATGAAAACAAAACACTGGCAGACTTTGCAGTTCTTAGAGTAACACTATGACTAGACTTCCTGCAATCTGCAAGATTTCCTATTTGTTTTATAATAAAGATAATTTGAAAATATTCATCATGAGAGTAACAACATTTTAGGAAATGTGTGTTTATCGTATTTAGTTACTACATATGAATGTGGAGTTAAATAGAGGGCAGTGTACTTGAGTTCTACTCTGAGCATCTTCAGTGTGTCTGAGTCTTTCCTCTTCAGCTCGTCGCTGCGCTGCCTCTCCCTCTCCCGCTCCCTCTCTCGTTCTCGCTCGGCCTCCCTTTCCCTCTCCCGCTCCCTCTCTCGGGCTCGCTGTCTCTCCAGCTCCCTCCTCCTCTCCTCTTCTTCCTCCTGGTCTTCATCCTCCTCCTTTTTCACGTCAATGCTGTCGCTCGTCGTCTCCTCCAAAATCAGAACTCCAGTGTCGCCACTCTGACAGCGTAACTGTTGATGGCACAACGGTTTTACTGAGAATCATCATCAGACACCTCAGAACAGACACCTCAATTAGATAATGTAAGCGCATGTTAGTAAATGACGTAACCTACCTTGTTGATCTCCAGCTGCGTTTCCCGCAATTTCCTCTTGTAGCGTTGCACGTCGCCTTTCAACTGCAGGTTGTGGTTCTGGAGGCTGCTGATCAAATGTCGCATCTCCCTGTTGATCGGTCCTGAGAAAAAGATGAAAGCCCGACAGTCAGTGGGTGTTTTTGAGTTTGACTCATTCAGCACTCTCAGCTAGCATCACGAAGCTGTAAATGATGAGTTTAATCACATAGTGCACAGAACTGACAGCTTGATACGGATGATATGCAATATTCTCTGCAGAGCTGAGAGAGGATTAGTTTGCTGACTGATATCTTCCTTAATATCCACTCGAGTACCACCCACAAAATATGGTACATTTCTTTCTTCTACTGAGCTTTGAAGCACATTAAAAAATATAACAAATACAGTTTCATTCTCGACAGACGAATATACACGCGAAACAATGTCCCTGACTGAAGTGTGAGAGTGTTTTGAAAAGGTACCTGCTTGCTCGTTGGCTGCCAGGTTCTGCTCAAATTCAATACGCAGCATCTCATATTCTTTGCGCACCTGGGCCAGAGTATCTTCCAGCTGGATGACCTCAGTCCGCAGCTTCTTCTGAAGAGACAGCTCATCACTCTGAAAGGTTAAAAACAGTGAGACATTATTCTCCATGTTTCTGAGCGTTAACAACAACTAGTGCTGTCAGCGTTAATCTCGTCTAAGTGACGCTAACGCCATAACTACATTAACGCAGCAAATGTCTGTTAACGAGTCACCGCGGATCGACCCCGGTGAGTTGACCACGCATTAGCGTGGTTAACTCGTTAATGGAGATTTGCTGGATTCATGCGGTTATGGCGTTAACGTCATTTTAATGAGATTAACGCTGACAGCATTAATAACAACACATACAAGTTTAAACTGTAAAAAATATACTGCAATGCACTGCAAGCTTAGGCTGAAGGAGCTGCTCCGGAGTCTCATCTTTTCTCTGAATCATATTAATGTTGACACAAACACACAAAGAAATGCTCTGAGAGTCACCTCCATGTGCTCAATCTGTCGGAGATGGGCGTTCTTCGCCGTGAGCAGGAGAGCCCGTGCCTCATCCAGCTGGGTTTTCACTCCTAGAGACTCGTTGTACAGGAGGGAGAACTGAGACTGCAGACATTTGTACTCTAACGTTTCCTTCACAACCTCCTCTGGAATATTACGCAGGTCCATCTGAAAAGCCCAGATGTGGAGTGAGATGACACGCAGGGCTAAACCATGAAAATCATTCAAATAAAGAAGGAAAATGAAATTAGCCTCCCGTCTCACAGGTATGCAGATTCAAATACATTTACCTTGAGCTTCTCACTCTCCCTCACAGCCTCCTGGAGCTCCACCTGTAGTTTTTCCAATTCTGCCATGCGACTATTTGCCAGCTCCTGGTTGTGCTCCAGCTCTGCATTGAGACTCTCAAACTATTAAAAAAAGGAGAAAAAAAAAGAAGACCACATTGTAAAAGAAATGTGGACTTTTGGAGGCAAGTTGCATATAAAAACGTGTTACACAACACTAAGTAAAGATTTAAACATGTACTTTCGTCTAACCTTTTGAATGTTCAGTGTAATCTGGCCTCCAGCCAGCCCACCTGAGCTGCCAGTGCTGCTGTATCCTGACTTGAGCTGCAGACAGAAAACACAGAAAATGTGTCAGGAAGTAACAACATAAAGTAAATGATTGTTATTGTGTGCGTTTAAAAAAGAGAAAAGAAAAAAGTGTCACATCTGCACATGCAGTTATGGACAAACAAGCTATTTTAACTAAAAACACTTGTGTGCATATCCACATAGTTTGCATCAAAGTCTTACAGTGTACATTTAAAAGGAAAAAAGAAAAAGACAAACAAATCTTGCCGACCCGGGCTAGAGATCAAATCCATGAAGCAAGATTGGAAGTTTGGGGTTAGAGCTACTTTAACTCACAAAGGGAGAAATATTTAGTTTGTACTTCAGAAGAAACATCTGCTGAGGTGACTTCAGCAGGTCCCTGCACTTTCTAACTAAAAACTGATGATTTGCATAGAGATGGAAACTCACAAATTAGACCTGCAATCAGCCTACAGAGAAAAAAAAAAATCTGTGGTGTTAGATGATCCAGCAGGATACATTTGTCAAACTTCAAAGTAAAGCTTACTACAAAAAAGGGCAGTCTGCCTTTCAAAACAACCACTCTGAACTTAGATCTTAATCCAATCCACCTCAAGTGCACACCAGACTTTCTAAGAATATGCCAGACCTGAAGCAGCTCTGTAAGGAAGCATGGACTAACAACCAGCCAAAATAAACTAATTCCAATTTGCACTATGATGAAAATATGTAAGTAATGTGTTCAACAAAGACTCAAAAGAATACATTTGGCTTATTAGTTAAAGCAGATTGTGTTTGTCTGTACTTGTGAACAAAAGCATACAACTCTACTCTGTAATTCTTCTGACATCCAATTTTCATGATCAGAAAACTGCTGTGCTTCTACTGATGCACAGCCCACCTTTGAGCTGTGCACCAGTAGAAGCAGCTGTTTTGACATGCATTGATGCTTAGAGCCTTATCAATGTCAACTCATGTATTAGAGGGAAAACGACAGAGCCTACGCCTAGTGGAAAGATTTAAAAATAAATATGCACACTATAAAAAGAAAAAGAAAAAAAAAGGGGGGCTGATGCAAAAGTTGCAAAGGGACATTAAACAAACACACCTGCTCCATGGCCTCTGCTAGGTGTTTGTTAAGCTTTTGTTCCCTATTGCGCAGTTTCTCAATGTCCCACTGCAGGTCCTCTACCGTTGTCTCCATCTCAGTCACCTTGGTCTCTGAGCTGGTCACCTTGTCCACGAGCTCATTATACTGCAGGAGAGTGGGACATGTGAATAGTTGCTGCATCACTAAGAATTAGCGACCATAAGAAATTGTCTAACTAGTTTTCCTCATTCAGTCACCCTGAAACACTCGAAATAACTACACTTGCAAACAGTCAACGTGTATGGTGAGTCACTTAAACAATACTAAGGACTTTGTACCTCCATGGACATCTTATGGTGTCTTCCCTGCAGGAGAGTGGCTAAGTCTCGCAGTCGAGTGTTCTCGTCCAGCAGAGTGCAGTTCAGATTGATGATGTCAGACTGGCTGTCATCTTCAAATCCTGCCAAACCAAAACAAAAAAACAAAAAACAAAACCCCAATACTGTCATTCTAATTTGGCCAAACTAACAAGTATCAAAGGAAGCACTCCAACAACTCAGTTATGATGCATTAAACTCAAAAATCTAGTAATTAGTTTAATGTAAATGATGTAAGATACAGTGCTCAGAGGTTTACTTACACTCATGCACATGAATGTCAGGGTAATTTGGACTTTTGATTTATTTGAACTGTTCTTTTTTTCAGGATAGAGGGATTTTGAATTTATTTTTGATTTTTTCAAAACCACACAGGGTCAAACGTATCCATATCCAAACACACACACGCCCACTAATATTTGATCAAACATCCCTTTGCAAATTGCTCCCCAATCAAATGCTTTTCATATCCATCAACATGCTTCTTGCTGAATATTTTACTACTCCTCTTAGCAGAATTGTTACGTTTAAATCGGTTGGTTTCCAGGCACAGATTGGGCTTTTTAACATGGTCCACAAATTCTCAACTGGGGTAAGATCGATGCTTTGGAAAGGCCATTCCAGCAGCTTAACATTAGCCTGCTTTATCCTTTTCAAAACCATTTTGGATGTGTTTGGCATCAGTGTCCCAATGGAACACCTGTGTCACACTGTCAAACTTCGTGTGTGATTTGAGATGAAATTTGAAGAATTTGGAGGTAGTCCTCTTCCGCCGTGATTATTCCATCCACTTTGTGCAATGTACAAGCACCACAGGCAGCAAAACAGCCCCAAAGCATGACCATGTTTGACAACTCAACTCTTAGATTTGAAAGCCTCATCTCTACTACTCCAAACATACCTCCTTTCATTGTGTCCAAACGGCTCAAAGAGGTTTCAACTCTCATCCGAGAAGCTTCTTCAGTTCTAAGAGCAACTGGTGGAGAGTCCCAGATTTTTAAGCCCCATTTGTCACGCCTTCAAGAAACTTAAAGTCCAGACACTTTTCTTTCCAAGCTCCTTAGACTACAATGACCTGGATGACTGAGAGCCTTCTACAACACACTTTTCTCCTGAAGGTATTTGGCTTGTGAAATTTGGGCTGATCCAAATTTCATTTGAGCCTGAAGGTGTCAACTTCGGTTCAGAGACTTCCTTCTTGGTCGGCGCCCTCTCAGTCCATGGCGATGTGAAACTCCCTTCACTCTGGCCATTGATCCTGGTGTTTCAGCAGCTTCCAGTTCCTGGGATGTTCCTGAACATCCTAACCAACATCCTCTCATCTGAGAGTGAAAATTTGGGTCTTCTTACAATATTTTGCAAAATTGTGAAACATCTGAATAATTTGTATTTATGCGCATTTGTTTAAGTTCTTCACAAATAACTGCAGGAGACATTCCCAGCTTTTGTAAATACAGTTCTCCTTCACAGATCTTCACTGAGTTCTTTGGACTTTCCTATTTTTCTGAGTATTGGTAGTCCATAGAGTGCTGTCAAACAAATATTTTTTATGCTGACAGAGAGAAACCACTAGTTGTAGTCCATCATGATCACAAAGAGAAGTTAACAAACCTGAACCTTGTCAAGTTAAAAGAAACTGTAGAACCTTCAACATATTTACAGATTTAAATGAGTTCATGTATACATTTGATTCTGTATAAATTAATTTAACCCTGTGTAAATTAGAAAAACTCCAAATGAAATTCAAACTTGTGCACCTAATTTTTGACTTTTAAATGTCACTGAAGATAAAAAAAAATGGAAAAAGAACAGTTCAAAGAAATCACTATGATGAACGAATGTAAACTTCTGACTATAACTGTACATTTAAGTGTCAATAACAAACATTTCTCCACAGTTACCTGCAGCTTGGACCACCTTGCACATGTCACTGATGTGACTGTGCAGCCTATCAAAGACGCAGACCAAGCAGGCGATGGCTTCTTTGCTGAATTGCATGCGGTCCTGGAGGTGCAGAGTTAGTTCCTCCTCACTGCTCTGCTCCAGAGTCGACAAGAAACCCTTGGCATTTTCACTCAGGGGGGGAGGTGGCGGTGATGTATCTGCACACATGTAAAAATGATAAAGTCAGCAAGTAACAATTTGATAGAATTCTTAAATATCAATTTTAAAAAGAAATTACAATTAAAACAGTAATCTATTGCTGGCACAGTCCAATGTGGTAAAGTCTGGTATAAACAAGTATTTTCAGAGTAATTTGTTATTTAAATACAAAGCAAAGAAAAAAGAAATCTGCCAAATACAGACTGTGTAGATTGGGACTAAAGTCTTGATAATACTCTAGATTTCTGCAGTTTGTAGCCAGCAGTACATGCTAACAGATGGAAGAAATACTGCAACAGTTGCCTTCTTTAGCCCACTATCATTCCCTTTTGCCTCACTATAATTCAGGGGTCAACAACCCTGGGCATGCTTGCCACAGCTGGCACGCGAAGGGTTAACTGATGGCACGACCATAGCTGGACTGGCCATCGGCCGTTGGTGATTTTTTGTTTTTATGGGCCGAAGAGTTTTTTTTAATTTTCTTTTTTAGTAACGGTAATAAACAATGAGAGGTGGTGGACTGGCCAGGTGCTGGCCGATGTGTAAAAATAACTCCACTGTTTGGTGGTGGCAATGGCGGAGATTCCACAGAGGCCAGCAGGTGGATGAGGGAAAGGGGAGGCAGGAGGAGGAGAGACCCGAGGCGGGCGCCGAGTGTCAGGTGAACTGAACTTCAGGTAAGAAGTTATGACCTGCAGTCTATCTGGGTCAGATATAAACCAAGTTTAGGTGGAGTTTATTTTCGTTGTGCTGACTTTTTACAGTCAGTTACAATAACTCGTACGATGTTACTGATAGTGAACTTTATTTTTATTCATAAGGTACGTTAGTAGAGTTGCCAACCGTCCCGTAAAAAATGGAATCGTCCCACATTCAGAGAAAATATTACGCGTTTCGTATTGAGCCAAAAAGGAACACAGTTTGTCCCGTACTTCAGCTAGAATGAAACAAAGACACAAAGCTGGATTTATTCTGTCTTTACGCTGCACAGCTGCCTCTTCTCCTCTCATTCTCTCCCCCTCCCTCTCCTGTTGTTACTTCAATCATGAAACTGATCAATGATCAGCTGATCGGCTTTTCTCTCTTCTTTGTTTATCTCCTACTTTGCGCCAGAAAGAAGAAACCAGCGGATGTCCCGCTAAACAACAGCAGCACGTTTAAGCTTGATCAGCTGTTGTTTAAATTTATTTAATATTAATTTATTTGTAATTAATTTTTTGTCCCAGTCCAGCCCTGGGCAAGACACGTAGTGAATTAATCTGAGAAGGTGCATTAAAAAATAAATAGCCGGGCCAGCAGTGCACATCGCAAATCATCTCGCATAGACACATTAGTCGTGCCGCTTCTTAATGACAGTATCTTAGCCAACAACCCAAACTACCAGATTCAACTTGTAATTGGCTAAAAATCACTTAGCCTACCGGTGAGAGGGATGTTGCTAGCTGGCAGTTTTTTCAAGCGATGTTGAAATTTCCACATTCCGACACTTCAAATGCTTCAGGAGCTTTCCGCTCAGCGCAGCATCAGCACCACGGAAATACACAGATACATCCGTAGGCTCGAGACAGAATTCACAATGTGTTTTTAGGACTTTCAGGTGTATGGACCAATGTTTTCTTTTCTGATCAAACCAGAAAGGTTTAATGAGCAGCTGGATTTGTCTCGCATTAACTGGCTGGACACAGAGGACATCAAAATGCAGCTGATTGAACTGAAAAGCTCGACTCTGTGGGGGGGTCAAAGTTTGCAGAACTACAAACGCAGTTGGAATCCATAGCTGTGTGTGTTCATGGAGCTTGCATTTTCACCTGCTGGACATCACTACCTGACAAGTTTAACTGTCTTCAGAACATTGCAGAGGCCTTATTGACAGTATTTGGCTCTACATGTCTGTGTGAGCAGATTTTCTCTCACATGAAGAGTGTCCTCAGGTCTGAATGCTGGACACTCGGAGACCTGTGTCTCTGAGTGGGAGACCAGAGATCACATTAACATGTGTATCCCTGTATTAACAAACATGCCATATTGGCCCAGTTTATTATTTCTTATCATTGTTGTGAGGAGACCATAAATAGCATTTGCATTTTCTGTTGTACATTTTCATTTGCTGTTATGGAGTTTTTGTTATGGATAAAAAGTGTCTGTTTTTTGTTTCAAAATAGCTGATAACTATTTACTGATAGCTGCCAACATCTGCAAACAAATACAATTCTATAAAGTTGTTCTATGTAGTGTGTAACTGTTCATATAGAGCGTTATTAAATTTATTGCTAATGCAATTATATGGCACACTGACTGAAACTATAGATGGCACTCATCAGAAAGGTTGCCTACCCCTGCTATAATTTAATACGCATCTTGAATAATGGTCAACACACAATAAACAAGAATATCCTTAAATTACAAGGCCTGAAGTTCAGTCTTGTTGCATAAAATTAGCTATCAGTATAAATAGTAGTGACTCAGACTGATGTAACTTCATGAGTAATGAAAGTCATAAAGATGCACTAAGTTAAATTGAGAATGAATGAATAAGGCAGATTACAATAGTCTATGACAGACGATTTGTCATTAAAAAAAAAAAATTGCTAACCTGTTTTTGTATCTGATTGCGGCTCTGTTGGTGTCAGTAAATCGTCTCCAGTGGGAGGAGGGGGCTGCTGCTGCTCCTCTTCCTGATGCTCCTCTTGTTGCTGCTCTGGCCGCTCACCCTCGTTCTGGGCCTCTGGCACAGGAGGGGGAGGCACGCCAGAAGGCGAAGCCAGGTTGACACCATCTTCCTCCATTGGTGTTTGATCGGGGATGGTTGCTGAGGGTGGGGCGGGGGTAGAAACAACTGGAGGATCTGGCTCAATACGTTTGCGCAGAATGTGCACGTTTTCTTCCAACTGCAAGTCAGATAGACATAGAAAAAGGTGTTAATTCTCTTTACAAGTTATTACCATGAGTTTAAGCCTTAGTACAGCTAAGTATATGTATAGCGACACTGCTTTGTGATCCTTCGATGTAAGCTCTTCCTATCATTGTGACGCAGAATTCACTAAGCGTTGGATTGTTCACCTACCAATAGGGAACGTGAGCTGGGATTAGACCACCTGATGATGTGTTGTTGCAATAGTAATCCTGCTCAGTACAAGAGGAACCGCAGGTTCAGACATTTGGTGTCTAGTGCTTGGCTGAGGAGCCAAAGGTGCAAAGCTACCATCTGTGGGATTATGACTGAACAGCCCGCCGGTGTAGGAGAGCTGTTTGTGACTGAACTGGGGGACGGCCGAACAACAGTCGCCCCTCTCCAATTGTGCACACATGTTTGTGGAGAACGTGTTGCTAAATAACTTCTAAACATCCTGATAACCAACCAATACCTGTCACTATGTGTACAATCAGGTTAAGGCAGACAGGTGGAAAACATGTACAGGATACATAGGACGTGGAGCCTGGACCTATGTATATAACAACTATCCTCCTAGACATGCTGATCAATCTGGATGAAACCTACTATATAACCTGCCTAAGGTACCATGATTATCTATAACACCTATATAGCTTTTGGGAGTTATTTTTATAACACTCAGATCCTTACAAATTACAAAAAGATGACAATCCATCAGATGGAAGAGTTGGGAAATGCTTTCTTAATTTATACATGCACATGTGCCTGCTATAATTGGTAACAGGAAAAAACGTTAAGATCTGCAATTACCAGATATAAGCCAAATTGGTTTGCCTCACACAAATGCAAGCGTGCTAAAAAAACAGATTCATCTGATCGCTGCGTTTAAATGAGGTTTTTATAAAATGTGCCAGTTCTTAATCAGGTTAGAGTGGAAACTAAAATTCAAGAATGGATTCTAACAATATAATGAAATGCACAGAATTACTTGTGACCAGTAGCGATTAACAATCAGCAAGGTAGTGTCATCAGTGGCTTGTCTCTTCTCCAGCTTCTCAATTTTCTCTCTCAGCTCATCCTCCATCGCCTGTCTCTGCTCCAAGCGTTCACATAGCTTCTTATTCTTGAACTGGAGAACCTTCATGTCCATTTCCTCCTGAATTAACACACACACACAAACAGAGAAACAAAATAATGAGTGTTAGGGATTGTAGATGTTGTCTGGCAAAAATAGATGACAGATTGTGCCTTGAGAGTGTGAGGACCATATAACTCACCGTAGAGGAGACTCCAGCTATGCGTATTGGCTCAATTAGCGTGGTGGTGGTCTTCTCTTCTTTCTTGCTTTTCTTTTCAGGTGGGCCAGGGGGGCTGTCCCCGCCTGGGGGACGCTTTCCTCCCCCAGCACCTGACATCTTTCCTTCCCTGCATTACATCAAGCAAGGCATGAAGAATTATAATTCATTCATTCATTTTGTGACAGCAAAGGGACGGCGTTAGCCTTAAATCAAAAATGCAATTTTAAATTTTAAAAGGTTCACTTTTCTGGTCCACTAGCATTTACATGCCGACTTATTACTGTATAAAAGGTATGCCTGTAGAATTACCAACCAGCTTAATTCCATATTGCTACAAAGATTAAAGATCTTTTGCAAGCTTGCAGCTTGCTACTGCTAACCATGCTAATGCTACGCTAAGGCTAACGGACGGCGTTATTGGTTCAGGATTCCGAGGTGGTCGGGGTTTTTATTCATTATCCATCCCGACATACACAAAATGTTCTTAAACAGGCATATGTGTGTCTTTTCACAAGAGAAATGTTATCATTCCAAACCTTAACAACCAGTAGCTGAAACGTAAGTCAGGACATCAGAGAAGCAACAGGAAATATGCAGCTAACGCTTCTTCTTCGTTGGTTTTAAATGTTCCTTACAATAACGGGAGAGCATTAGCGCCGCCTATTGCTTGCAATTCACACAATGTAAAGATTAAGTATTCCCGTTGGTAACAACAAGTAAAATTAAGAAAATCACTCAAAACACGGACTACTTCCTTGGGATACGGTGCTTTGAAGTGCAGCTACTCGAATTTATCTGGAGAGTGTATTCGAGACCTCAAAAATGCAAACCATGCTATCACGTCCCCTCCGGCCTCTCGGGGGCGCTCCTGCGGCACACTGTAATAATAACTTCCAGGACTGTGACCAGAATGTAAACAGTGCTCAGGTGATAGCTAACTGCTGTTAACATTAACGGTAGCTAATTTCGTTACTGTAGCCGCGTAATCGCACACGTTATGGCTTCACTATAGATTCCTCGACCTGAGAGGGCTTCCTGATTCCTCGTTTCCCTCTCTGTCTTGTCGTTTGATTGCATAAATGGTGAGTAGCTTCCTGTTCGGTCAGTGAACCTGCTGCTGTATCAAGGCCATAGCAAAGACAGTTACCTAACCGTTTTGATGGACTTCTAAATAACAATAGGTCGAGGAGATGTGTGTATACACGTTTGACCTGCTAACTAGATTTAAACTAAAGCTAAGGGCACAAGAGTTAGGTAACTAGTTCCTGTTTATTCAGAACCACTGGTACAAACTAAGACACGTGACTATTGTTTTAACAGCTCCATACGCTGTAAACATGACCAAAGACATCGTTGTTGGGGACGAACTACCAGACTGGGTGGGGGCCAAGGAGTTTTATCAGAAGTATGATCCTAAAGAGGTGATTGGCAGGTAAGTCAACCAAAATAGATATACAATGCTGTTAAAAAGCATCCATCGTGATTTGTTTGTTGCTGTCGTTGCTTTTCATATTTGTTACACTGTATGTTTCATATCATCAATAAATTTTAAATATTAGACAAAGATAACCCAAATAAATTCGAAATGCAGTTTTTTGTTTATTAAAGGTGGAAAAAAAGTTACTGACATCTATCAATCTTGAAAGACTTACAAAAACAAGCCTTTGGAACTCCAGTGAATTACAGTGAGAGCCATTATTGTGCACAAATGGAGAAAACCTGAAAATGCGGTGAACCTTCTCAGGAGTGGCCGGCCTTAAAATGACTCCAAGATGCCACCGACAACATCCAGGACGTCACAAAAGAACCCAGAGCTACATCTAAAGAACTGTGGGCCTAACTTGCCCCAGGAGCTGCTTTACTGCCTCAGAACCTCAATAACTTGCTATAATTGATGAAACAATGAATTCTGCGCTCTACCAGAAGATCCAGAAGGAGAATGTACAGCCGTCTGTTAAGCCACTGACACTCAAGCCCACACGGGTTATGCAGCAGAACAATGATCCAAAACACACCAGCAAGTCCACATCTGAATTCTAAGAAGAGTGGAACAAAAGTGTGTTCAGGTTATCTTTGTCTAATATTAAAATGAGTATAATGATCTGAAACGTGTAAGTGGAACGGGGCAAATACTGTGCACAAATACTGTACACAGAGCTACTGTGTACATTTTTAAAACCGTGTCATTTCTTTAATAATGTTGAAAATGCACTGTATTGTATGCTCATTGTCAGGGGTGTGAGCAGTGTGGTGCGCAGGTGTGTGCACAGACACACGGGCCAGGAGCTGGCGGTGAAGATTATCGAGATCACAGCTGAGAAGATGACAATCCAGCAGTTGGAGGAGGTGAAAATTTCCACGCTGAAAGAGATCCAAGTGCTCAACATGGTGAAGGGACACCCCTCCATCAGTACGTTGCTGTTCTCTCTCCTTTTGTTAAGGAATCATAAAATTTCTTTCCATAAAGTTTGGTAAGTGTTAAAGTTTTCTTCTGTTTCATTCCCTTTAGTCACCCTCATTGATTCCTATGAGTCTGCTACATTCATATTTTTGGTGTTTGATCTGTGAGTATGAGGACAAAAAACTATTAAACTAAATACTTTTTACACTCCCAACCTGAAATTCAATTTTTTTTCAACAACATTTGTCAATTTGCTGTCTTTTGTTGACAGCATGAGACGTGGAGAGCTGTTTGACTACCTCACAGAAAAAGTTACCCTAAGTGAGAAGGAAACCAGGTGAGCCGCAGCATGACTGCACTATATCTGTATTAATTAATACTAGCAGCATTTTGCATTGGGCACATCATAAAGTTCTGTTTCTGCAGACCATATTGCAAAATATGCCGCCTTTCAAGATTTTATTTAAAAGTTATCCAGCGAGCAGCTCTGCGTTAAAGAGCTGCTGAATATCTAAATATAATCACACGTTTGGTGTCGACACCCACTTTTAATCTCGTGTCACGCAGCCCAACTTAATCTCACATCAAAAAAGCCGAAGCTTTAAAGCTGCAGCTTTAAAAAAGAAAAACACTCATGTTTTTGGGGTGGTTGTTGTAGTTTTGTAGTGTTTGTTATTAGCATTGTCCTGCTGAAAAATGCAAGGCCTTCCCAGAAAAAATGTCTGGATGGGAGCACATGTTGCTCTAAAACTTGTATATACATTTCATCACAGATGTTGCCTTTCCAGATGTGCAAGATCACAGTCGCAGTGCTGCTTTTTAGCTTTGTTGCTTGCGTACAGAGATTTCTCCAGATTCTCTGAGTTGAGGTTATGGGAGTTCATATTATGTATAGTAGATAATGAGGTATTCAAAGTCTTTGCAACTCATTGAGGAACATTATTCTAAAATTGCTTCACAATTTTTAGATGCAGGTTTTTGCAGATTGTTGACTCTCTACCCATCTTTATTTCTGAGAAGCTCTGATTCTCTAAGATTTTCATTTTATACCCAATCATTTTAATCACTTGGTGAAGCCAGCAATGTTGTGTATCCCATGAATAATCAAGCCAAAGATATGATTAAAATTACACAAACATATTACACAGTGTTTACTCTGAACCTTAGACACGCTCGGACGAAATCTATTTTACACGGATCAAATGTGTGTATTCGGTTCTTTACAGGAGCATGATGCGAGCTCTGCTGGAGGCCGTGCAATACCTTCATTCCCTCAACATCGTACACCGGGATCTGAAACCGGAGAACATTCTCCTGGACGATTATGGCCATATCAAACTCTCTGACTTTGGTTTTTCCGTGCAGCTACAACCTGGGGAGAAGCTTCGAGGTATGGCTGTGGATCATGAGCATATCCTGTGACAAGTGTTCATCCATTATTAGTTTAAAACAATCTTTTCTGTTAAAATCAGAGCTCTGTGGGACACCTGGTTATTTGGCGCCCGAAATACTAAAGTGTTCCATGGATGAAATGCACCCAGGCTACGGCAAGGAGGTCGATCTGTGAGTCTGTCTTTGTTCGGCGGAGATTTACAAACATGCTACTTCTCACTGCCGTTTCTAACATTTGCATGGTGTGTGTTTCTAAGCTGGGCCTGTGGAGTCATCCTCTTCACCTTACTAGCTGGCTCGCCTCCATTCTGGCACCGTAAGCAGATGCTGATGCTGAGGATGATAATGGAGGGTCGCTATCAGTTCAGCTCCCCAGAGTGGGACGACCGGTCTGACACTGTGAAGGATCTGGTAAGCTCATACAGTCAGCTTATTCTGTACTGCAGCAATCCTAATATTGACATTTTCAGTGCAAAGAATAAATCATATTGCAGTATTTGCATCTCTTAAATCATTCATGTGTACTTCTGTAATCTTTGTGCTTGTGATACTCAGATATCCAGGCTGCTGGTGGTGGACCCAGCTAACCGTCTCACTGCTGAGCAAGCCTTGGCCCATTCCTTCTTCAGGCAGTACCAGCGGGAGGATGTGAGGCTCTTCAGCCCCAGAAAGACGTTTAGGGTGAGCCGCTGTGTTAGCCCAGCATTGTTATTGCCACTGATTTAAACTGTCTGTGAAAAAGGAAATAACTTCCACATGCTTCCATGCATCCAGGTTCTGATAGTGAGCGTGCTCGCCTGCATCAGGATGTACAGCCGCTACCGCAGGGTGCGGCCGCTAACCCGAGAGGTGCTGGCGAGGGATCCTTACTCCATCCGCGGCGTGCGCAAGCTCATCGACGGCTGCGCCTTCCGGATCTACGGGCACTGGGTCAAGAAAGGGGAGCAGCAGAACCGAGCAGCCCTCTTTCAGAACACTGCTAAGATCATGCTGCTAGAGCTGGAGGAGTTTGAAACATGAAAGGTCAACCTCGTCGCTCAAAAACGCTTTTATGTATCCGTTTGCATGTGCTGTCATTGCGGTGTTTGCTCCATCGAGTTACTGTTTCAAGATAAGGAATGCAGGGACGGGGGATCTTTGTGTGCCTTAATGCGCATCGTGGCTCTGAAAGTTCAAGATAAGCATGCACCACTTAATATTCCTTATCTGTTGTTGTCTGAAACTCCCTGTCAGGTCATCCGGCTTGCAGTGCAATTTGCCGTTGAGGACACCTTGCACGATATCTTTAGTAAAACTCATCATAATATACATTTAGGATTTTATGTGTTAATCGTCCGTTATAACTGAGTAGGCCAGTGGCGTCAAACTCATTTTAATTCATGGGCCACATGCAGCCCAATTTGATCGCAAGTAAAAGTGTTTCATAATAAAAATCTATTTTAAAAAAATCTTAAAAATGTTCCTTTTCTTTTAGCGGCGAGTACAATTATGTATTTAATAAATCCTACATTTACTAAACAGATGATGGTGAAATTAAGTGTCGCTCTTAACGACTTACAAGACGAGTGGCCCACAGTGTGTGTGTTTGACCCCTCTGATGTAGAGAATGCATTTCTAAGCACTGTGTAGGTTAAGTGGAAATCAAAGCACTGAGATTAGTTATTAGTTATATACCTAGTCTGCTCATATTGACTCCACTTGAGTAGCTTTGCATGATTCACGGTTCATAAAAACACTTGTATGTCTTTTACTGCGCATTAGTGCAGACCTTCAGGCCACACGACCATTAAGCCAACTTTCTTCCTTATTACCTGAAACTTTAATACAACACCTAACATTGTAATACTACAAAAGCAGCAGAAAATAAGGAAAAAGCATAATAAGTCTCCTTTATTAGACACATACAGGTACATAGAAGTGCTGCGTTAAAGCTCAGATTTACATATATGCCAGTATTACGAGTCAGCACTGGGGAACATGTGTGAAATATTCAAGTTAAATATTTGGAGTGTTTGTCGTGTTTCATGCATGCAAGCATTCCTCAACAGGAAACCCACTCAAGACTAACTGTGAACATCGTTTGCGACTGTAAAACTAACAAGCACCATTCCTAACTCAGTTCATTCTTTCATCTAGAGAGAATTACGTTTTTTTGATTTCCTGGAAGTGCCTGTTTGGGAAAAAAAACATGTAATTATATAAATGCAGGTATAAAGTATGTTGTGCTGTACATGGAGAAAAATGGTTTTATTGACAATAAAATAAATGTTTTAATCGTGCTGCTTTGTAGGAGTGCTTTATTTGAAATCTACCGCCTATCTAGATGGGGCAAAAAAAAAGTGTGTTATTTTTTGGCTTTGTGGCTGTTCTGTGAGTAATCTAAAGCACTGTTTTGCTGAGATGCTTTTTCTTTAATCCGCTGATCTAGTTGCCCAGACACAAGCATCATCTGCTCTCTGACTTGTTGCTCTATCAGCGCCTTCAGCTCAGATGTGGCTCCTGAAAGAGAGGAAATGAAGCCGTTCCTTGCATGACTTTTCTTGGGCTGTGTTGGACTGTAAAAGTTATGCCTGCAGCATAACTGCTGTGCTGCCGTGATTTTTACCTGCTGGGGCCGCGATGGAGGCTTGCTGTGTTTCAGAAGACGTCCCATCTTCCGCCTCTGTCTCATTCTCAACACCTGGTCGGATAAAAGTAATAATAAATATAGCTCAGTACTTTTTTCTTTTTTTTTTTAATATCCCAATTTTAATGCAACACATAACAAGGCAGGTGCTGGATTGGAGGAGTTTTTTTTTTTCTTTTAATATTCATTTCCACAGGAAGTGAAAAGGAGATTAAGAATGTTTTGCAAGAGTACATCTGATCCAATTTCACTCTAACCACAACTGTGCAAGATTGGATCACACATGTAGTCACTGCAAAGAGGTAGAAGACGATTTTTATACACTACATGAACTGAATTTCTGAGCCAGCTATACAAAGAAATCCATGCCATGAAGCACCCGGCATACTGTTTCTGTACTGGTGATAATTCCAGAGAAGGGTCGGAGCTCTGCAGTTAAGTGAGCCAGCAAAGCATTGGCTGGGTTTCTGCAGTTCCTAAAAGCATCTACTTTGCAATAATCTCACTTACAGGTGATGGTAGAATATGTATGAGAGAAAAATTCTTACAAAATGAGTTGTTGCAATGGCGACATCCTATTACAGCGCCACGCTCAAATTCAGTGAGCTCTTTAGAGCGACCCATTCTTTCACAAATGTTTGTAAAGGCAGACTGCGTAGCTTGTTGCTTCATTTTATGCATCTGTGGCAATGCGACTGAAAACATCTGAATTTACTTTCTTTCTTATCTTAACACTGTATGATTTCAGATTGCTTTTCCTTTTTTTGTCTTCATTGTCTGACAGCTTTGTTTGTGCCAAACACGTTTGCTTTTCCAAGATGAACTCTGTAAATTCTCTATAGGCTCTTCTTCGTGTGTTACTTTTATCTGTTTTTGTTTATTCATTTCTATTCGTGTTATTTCTGTTAATACAGTATATGTGTGATATGGCATTGTCTAAACTGACAGGCAGGAGGGTAAAAGAAAGAGGGAGAAAGAAAAAAGGGAACAGGGGAGAATAAAGGCGAGAATAAAATATAATTGCTCTCCCCCGCTATATGTAACTTTAATGCTACTAAAAACTTTGCTTTTTACCTGGCGCAGAAGAATCCTCCACGGTAGGGGATCTAATATCCGGCATCCCAGAGTATCTCAAAGACAGATCAAGATTCACCTGTTGGTGGAAAAAAAACTTACTTAAAATGTATTTGGTACACAGGGGGCACTACTGAGAACAGGAAAGCTGCACAGAGGGTAACTAACATGGCCCAAAAAAATCATTGGCTGCCCACTGCCACCCCTGGAGGCCATCACCAGATCCTCCTGTCTCTGGAAAAACCAGGGCCATCACAGGTGACCCCTGGTAGGCACCTCCAGACTCACTAACAGCTTCTTGCCCTGGGCCATTCAGACTGTTAACACTATCCCCCCACAACACACCTACCCACCTCTAGCCACTCAGAATCTATTCAGACCAAGTCTTTTCTTTGCACTACCTCCAAGCACTTTGCTTTCCATTGTGTGCCTTTCTATTGCTTTGTACATACATATATACATATTCCTCTAGTTTGTATATATCTCTTCTGTTCCTATATATTCCTGATGTCTTTACTATTATTTTATTTATTTTTACTCCTGCACAGCTATCGTGGAGCACCCATAATTTCCTTGTATGACAATGACAATAAAGGGTTATTCTATTCCATTCTATTCTATTCTATTCTATATTTGTTTGTTTGTATATTTGTGATATAATTTATTATTTCACAAACGAGCATGTAGCACTAAATACAATCTATGTGCTTTAGAAATACATTTTACTTTACCTAATGACAAATACTGAAAACTCAAGTCAGTTAATTCATGACATTTACCTGTGTGGTAAAGATATATTTATATAGCTTGTAGTGTTTCATGTAGTTGTTGAGGATGTATGTTAAGACACGGTTAACCTCATCAGCATTGAAGAGGCTGATGCTGAACGGAGGCCGCTGTAGAGGGGAGACACACACGCACACACAAACACACTATGAATCAGCATTACAGTCGTGGATCTGTATGAGTTTGAAAATGAAACAGTGACTGCCAAATTTTGCACACACCCTGACTGAGTGGCATAACAGAAGCTCCCTGCAGTACTTGAAACACTGCTCCGAGTTATTGAGTGGAGTTTCTGCAAGAAAGGAGGTTCAGACACATGTCATGTAAAGTTAGAGGATACTTTGGCATTTAATGGTGGTGATGCAAGTCACGTGACACTAGGTCAACAATCTTACTGAGTTAATCACTGACTCATAAGATTGTACAGTATTTCCTTCAATTGCCTAAATACTGTATTTTTTTTACAGACTTAACAGAAGAGTTGAGTCTGCGCTAAACAAATGTTGTGAGGAGAAGAGATCATTTGTACTGTTTTGATTTTAAACACATCATTTTCAAAGCCAGATAGACCCCCGCCTTGCTGACTACACATAGTTAAGATAAAGCTATTTTGCTTACCCACGTTGGCTTCATGAATTGACTTGATAATGGACAAGAGAGTAGACGTTTGTTCTTTGTTGAAGCTGTGCTCTCTGCAGAAAAGCACCATCTGAACGTACAGCTCCAGAAGAACTCCCTTTCTGGGTTCAGGGAGGTCAACTCGAAGCACACTGCACAGAGCACTGTCACAGAGGAGAACAGGTAACCCCCCCTAAATAACGTCTGTGCCCTATAATTGAGTGATTATTGTTTATAAATGAGTGACAGAAACCTCTCCAGATCGGGAATGGATTGCATTTTGTTGATCTCTTCCATATCATGGTAGCTTACATCTGTCCTGAGGGAAATAGATTCATGGATAAATATTACAATCAGGCAGGCAAAGTGTAAATAAAATGGAAGCTAACGATAATGATCTGCACCGTGTGTGTGACCCAGCTCTCACCATAACATCACTTTAGCTTTCAGGTCATGTGGTAGCTACAAAAGAAAACGATGCTTTTTATACGTTGTAATACATTACAAATAATAATAAAAGCTCTGTCAAATGTAAGATATAACATGAATATTTATGCCAAAATGTTTTTTTTTAATTAACAGAGGCTAAATGAGTAGGAAGTAAAGAGAACCGAACACAGAAGCAGCGAATAAAACTTGAAGAGCATACCTTAATTGTCCCATCCATTTTTAAAAGTTATTATGTCTTTAGGTGAAATAACTAGCTATAGTTAAAATGGACAGACTTCAAAACACGTTTTACAGTTTAAAGAAAATATATCAGAAAATAAATCTGCCTGGAGTATGCTCCGTTTTGTTAGCCACCTGTATCCTAGCAACAGGCGACTTTTTTCTTTTTCCGGTTCAGGGTCCTACAAAATAAAACAACTAAATAAACATTTGTTTATTATTTATCACATTATTATACATCATGTTATATAATTTAATAGATCTTATTTATGCAGCAATGCTCTTAAAGGTAACGGCATGAGCCGCACTGATTTGTTATTATCTTATAATTTAATGTAAAGTGAATTCCCCCCACACACACAACAGACCTACAACAGAAACAAAACAAAAAGAAAACCAAAACAATAATAATGAATTAATTAAAAACCTCATCACTTGGTACATTTGCAAGTCCTCGGCTAAACCCATGATGATGAGATCAGCGCTCTGTGGGAGTCATCCATCTGCTGCTGGATTTCTTGTTCTTGTGGCTGAAAATCGTAGGCTAACGACCTTTGGCTGTATGTTTTCGGAACGTTATGCCAAACGTAGTGCCAACATAATGCAGGATGAAGAGTCGAAAGTTAAATCTAAAAATAAACAGAGAGAAAAAAAAATTGCAGGCGAAAGATGTAATGAGCCAGCCTGTTGTGTGATAAATAAAAGAAAATTAAAGATGCTGGGTTTGGAACTCTTTTTAAGCTCTCCATCGCTGCGTGAAGCTGTAACCATGGCAACGCCATAAACCTGCCTGAGTTTTCTGTCAACAGCTGCTGTGCTTTTGTTTTTTTGTTTTTTGTTTATGTTTTGTTTTTGTTTGGGTTTTTTTTTTTGGGGGGGGGGGGGTGTCATTAACTGAATCCAAAGCGATGCATAGCAAACCTCAGTGAGTAATAGCGAGAAGCTTTGGGGGCTATCTGTGCGACTGCTGTGGCTTCCGTGTTTGTTTACGGGGTAAGTGATGGAGGAGCTGGGAGTGGATGGGGGCACCACATTCCTGTTTCTCTTGCCTCACGTTTCTGCTGCAGGCCTTAACATCTTCTTGAAGTAGTATGGAAAGCCTGTTCAACAGGCTGCTCGTCACCCTGACTGAGCTGCCGCTGCAGTTTAAGAACATTATCCCCATTTAATCTACTTTGCCTTCTGCTGCACGCAGGTGGACAGACTGGCAGATGGAGCTGGGCGGCACAATCAAACACCCGCTTTCCGTCCTTAATTGCACGTAGTGGGTTTTTCTCTGGACACAGTCGACATTTTTTAATTGTTCTCACCTTGAGCGTTGATGGTGGACTTCATCTTTTGTTTGCAGATACTCTGATTCATCTACTGACTGCTTCATCAGTTAATAGGGAGGTTTTACCCGGACATGGAGGAGCCCGACATACGACAACAGAAGCTGGACAACCAGGTGAAGATACAATGATTATAATTTAAATATATCTTTTATATATTCTAGTTTCCACTGGTACAAGAATCGTAATTGCAAACATTACATAGGTTTTACCATTTTGTAAAAAGCATGCAAGACTGTCACAGTGAGACTGGAGCAAACACTAAAATTTTGTCAATTGTTGCTCACAAGTACTAAAATTTAAGCATAGCTTTACAAAAATAGATACATTAAAAAAAATCTTTCTCCAGTTGGAAAAGGTCACAGTCTGTGTCAGAACCACCTGCTGTTTCCTGAGCTGCTAAACTTCAAGTCCCAGGCCCATTTATGCTATACAGTATGCGGTTTTGATCTATTTAAGCTTTACATATATGCCCTATAGTAGTCACGTCAGCACGTAACCCATAGTAGTAATGTACTAATCCTAAATTAAGAACTAGCAGTATTAGTGTAGTAAACTGTGAAAATGAACATGCAGGTGCATTAGCAATCATTTAGGTTGTCCAGAATTAAAACCACTACAACTCACCATCTAACTTCCCAGAGCCCTTCCCTTAGCCTGGTTCTCCTGGAGCTTTCTTCCTGGTAAAGGGGAGTTTTTCCTTCCCACTGTTGCCAAGTGCTCGTCCTCTGACTGTTGGGTCTTTACCTTAAATATAAGCACTTTTAGGTGACTGTTGTTGTGATTTGGCAATACATAAATAAAATTGAATTCAACTGAATTCAGTTGCATGAGAGAGAAAGCAGAACATTGTTTTATTAATGACTCAAGAGCCCATTTGGACCATATCTTTGTAAATATATTTCCATGTGTGAACACTGTGTAGAGACTGAGTTTGTCTGATGTGTGACCCACAGCGAACCCTTTTGATGAAGAAGCAGCAGAAGAAGAGAGCTGATTCTCAAATGGTGTTGACCAACCGGGACACTCGAGAGAAGAATCGAAAGCACAAAGCTGTCCACTCTGATGAGACGCCTCTGTTGATCAGCCAATCACTGAGCAGCACTTCTCTTAGTGGTTGGTGTTAGAATAATTAATTAGAATAAACCATTAAAAAAAACTAAACATGTCTTTACAATGTGTGATTTAATTTTTTATTTTTTCATCATTTATAAATCTTTTTTGTTTGTTTGTTTTTTCCTTATTTTGAAGATCAAGTTGAGCATGCCCATGATAACCCACTGGATGTGATTACACTTGGTGAAGGTGACGCGACAGCAAATGTGGAGTTAGATGAGATGCCTGCAGAGAAGCCAGTCGTTCCCAAGAAAATGAACTTGGAGATTGACAGAGAGCCTGAGGTGAAATACGAAGGGGCCAACGAAGCCCAAGCGGAAGGGAAAAAGACAAAGAAGAAAGATGTGAAAAAGGACAAAGCCAAACGTAAGCGGTGATGTAAGAAACTGTCCCGTGCTTTGATGAACGCTGTTCGTTACAGACGCCTATTGATCAGCAACTAACTGCTTTTTCAGAGGTGGAAGAGACAGAGGAAAAGAAGAAAGAAAAAGACACGGAGAAGAAGGAGAAAAAAACAAAGAAGAAGAGCAAAGACTCTGTCGACACACCGAAGACAACCAAGACAACCAAACAAGAGCGCAAAAGTAATAAAACAAATTCACACTTCCACTCTAAGAGCTTTGCATCTAACAAGAAAAAACCCACTTCCATTAAATTAAAGGAGCTTCACATCAAGCTTTATGCAAATGTCTGCTCTTTTACAGAGAAGAACCTACAGGAGGCTTTAACGTCTGAAGCAGTGTCAGCAGAGGTAAGCCCAGAGAAGACTAAACAAGATCAAAGTGAAGCTGAACAAGAAGAAGAAGAAGAAGATGGGCTTCAGAGGAATGCTTCTCAAACACCTAAAAGGAAAAAAGACCTGGACACATGTGAGAGAAAAATCTGTTCTGCATGATGTCTTGATGCATTCTCAATCATCCAGGAAAGTAAATCTCCAAAAGTTGATTCTGTTCATCTGGACGTAGCGTTTTGTGGGAGAAATGTTCACGTCCAGATGAACAGAATCAACATCTGGAGGTATTCTGTATGATCCCCGGTTCGTTAAAGTTTTATAAAAGAACATTGTCATTTTTTATCTCCATAGCCAGATGCCAAATAAGTGACGAGAGCAAAGACGAGGAGGTCCAAGAGAAAGAGAAAAAAGAGAAAAAGTCACACAAAGCAGAGAAAACTACACGAAGTCTAGCGTCCCTGAACTCCAACTACAGGGAGAGTTCATCTACAGCCAGTGAATCTAATGAAAGAGTAAGACGTTACAGGCGCAAGAAGCAAAAACAAACAAAAAACAAATGGAAAAGATCTCAAAAAATCATTCACATCCTTTCTCTTTTCAGCCAACTTCTCCAATATCAGTGGAAGATCTTGAGAAGTTTGCCTTACGTCCTGCTCCTAGAGATGTGACGATCCAGTGCAGGGTCACAAGGGACAGGAGAGGCATGGAGAAGGGCATTTACCCAACTTACTACCTCCACATGGAGAAAGAGGATGGAAAGAGGGTTGGTACACTGATTTTAGCTACAGTAATTTCATTTTGCTGTCGTATTTGTGTCAAAGCATCATTCTCTCCCTTTGTTTAACCACTGTGCCACCTCTAGGTGTTTCTAATGGCGGGCCGAAAGAGAAAGAAGTGCAAAACATCCAACTATCTCATCTCTACTGACCCCACAAATCTATCCAGAGATACAAACTCCTACATAGGAAAACTAAGGTGATTTCACCATTTAAAATGAAAAATCTAGTATGATCCGGTCTTTTGGTCTTGTGCTACAGCTCTGATCGGTTGTAACCTCGGTCATTTTCATCCCAAGTTTCCTTTGAGATCTTTGGACAGCTGAACTCACTTTTTAAACCTTTTTATTTACATAGAAAATTCAGGTTTTTCATAAAAATTAATTCAGCGAGTTATAGTAAAAGTAAAGCAAAGTAAAAGTTGTGATTTTTACTTTGCTTTCTTTAAAGAATTGTCTTATCCGCAGCATTCACAGCCATGCCGACCTTTGCCTCTCTCGCTGTAAGTTTGTTAAGGTAATCTGGAGGCGTTTCACACCTCCAAAGCACCTCCAGTAAGATGGATTGGCACTTCTTACATGCCATATGGTCAAACTGTTCTCATGACAGCTGAACAGAGCAGGAAAGGGTCTGCTATATTATACCAGCTGACTCCTTCTTTGAGAGGTATGAAATATCTGTGTGGTTTTAAAGTAAACTGGCTTCAGTCGAGCAGCGTCCGTCATATATCTTGCACAGATCTCCCACTTCACCACTACCAAAGTACACACTCCTTCACATTTCCTTTATGATACTCAGAGCTCGTGTCAGGCACGTGCCCAGTTGCCTTATGTCTAACAACTGTTCCTTAACACTTCAAATGCACAGTAACCTGTCTGGCTTAGCCAGAAATCATTTGCCCTGCAATAGAATCTATGACACATGGGAGGCTCCAGCTACAGACATAAAGAACTCAAGAAAAAGCACCATAAGATTAGTGTGAGAGCACCACGAATGTGTAAAAAAAAAAAAAAAAAAGCCACTGCACTCCATCTGTGATTGCTGATGTTCCAATCTGGACCAAAGTGAACTGACAGCCATCTGAAGAGTGAGCCCGGCTAATAGTTGGGGTTTAAAAGCACTTGTCAGCACTCTGGCCTTTTCCCTAACAAAGATCTGCAATGCTAACTTACCGGGAAAAATAAGTGAGCATCAAAGCATCTGTGGTGTGTGTGCTAGCTCAAATTGTTTTAGATCGTGATTCTGATAGGACTCATTTGTTTCAGGTCAAATGTGCTAGGTACAAAGTTCACAGTCTATGATGGAGGTGAAAACCCGGAGAAAAAACCTTTCATAAAAGAGTGTGAATCAGTGAGGCAAGAGCTAGCAGCAATTTGCTACGTAGGTACCACACACGCACATGCATGCTATTTGCAGAACAGACAAAGCTTTCCAACATGCATCACAACCATTTATCACATTCCAGGAGACAAATGTGCTGGGTTTCAAGGGTCCAAGGAAGATGACGGTGCTCATCCCTGGCATGCTGGAGAATGATGAAAGAGTGGTCATCCGGCCCAAAAATGTATAAGTAAAACATAAAACTCATTCACAGTGTTATTATACCTGTGATAGGAGTGAATTATTTCAGATCAACTTATCTTATCCTCTTATTCCAGGACCTGGAGACTCTGTTGACCCGCCATGCAAATGGCAACACGGACAAACTGGTCACCTTGGTGAACAAATCCCCGAGCTGGAACGAACAGACTCAGTCGTACGTGCTCAACTTTCACGGACGTGTCACCCAGGCCTCTGTCAAAAACTTCCAGATCATCCACCCTGACAATGGTAGGACGACTTATTGTCCGTCTCTGAATAACCACTGGAGAAACGATTTGGCTCATTAACTTCAATGCCCTCCTGTTTTTTCCAGAGGACTACATCGTGATGCAGTTTGGCCGCGTAGCTGAGGACGTCTTCTCTATGGACTACAGTTTCCCTATGTGTGCCCTGCAAGCTTTTGCCATCACCCTCTCATCCTTTGATGGCAAGCTGGCCTGCGAGTGAGCGATGCTGGTGTGCCTCAAGTGCTTAAAGAGATCCCCACACAGGATCAGTTTTCATGTTCTGTATCCTGCCGGACTGTAACACTAACATATACCTTTAATATACCACAGACATCAGAGGAGACTAATTTTATAGGGCTGTTTACTATTTTATCACCACTGTTAAAATAAGGGTTTACTTTTCATATTTCTCAGATGTGCAAAGAACTTTTCAAATGTGAAAGATTACCATGTGAAAACCACCCATTAAATATTGATTAACAGTATTAAAAGTGTGCGAAGAGTCATATTTAAAATATTTAATTGTTCTTTATGTTTGCTTAATGAATTTTATTATTTAAACATTACATTGCTGATATTTTCCGTGACAAAAAAAGCCCACAGTGTTATCAGCCTGTGGACTTTTCCATTAACTTGATTAGTACAACTTTTGCAGCTTCAATCAGCCTCTCAGATTTGTATCAGTGTGATTACATGTGACATCTCTAGCTGTTTGCTATCATCTCAGAGTGTTTATCACGAAAAGGAAACTTTTTTTTTTATCAAAGTACTAAAAACAGAGGAAAAAAACTGTATCAGATGTAGAAGAACTGCAGCACGTTGCAGATTTCTCTTCTTGCACAATATAAAGATTCGAACACTAGTTCCATCCCAGGACCATCACCATTGCTGATCTCAAGCAAGTTTTAATGCTGCTTAACAGGAAAAAGGGGGGGACAGAAGTCATTTGGGTTTCAGTTAGTAAAAATAAGCCTCAGTTTCGTTCTGTGGTAAAGTAAGACGATCGGAGGTAAACAGGTATTTTTGAAACCTAACCTCTGCAATCGCATTTATACATTGCCATTCTGTGTTTATTCATTTCCTGTTGAAATGGTATTATAGCGCAAAAAAATGTTTGCGGGTATTCCCATCACAATATCTACTAATACTTGCTGCAGCATACTTCACAAGTAAAGCAGGCGATGCATTATGTAACTGGGCCCTCAGGCCGTAAAAAAAAAAAAAGAACACGAGTGCATGATGAACGAGACACATCCAGCTAAAGTGAGATTCAGTCTGCTAGAGTGTGTTTACACATTTGTAAATAAACAAAATCATGAACCCTAGAGGAAGCCGTGAAACTCACCATCAGCTCTTATCTTTTGTAACATCTTTCACCAAAGGCGTACACAACCCCAATTTCAGCTAATCTGCTCTCAGTGCATGTTGCACAACACCCTTGCAGGTTGCACAATAATTAGCATACTCTAATATCAGGTTACTTGTTAAATTGAAGTAATAATAATAACGATATAGAAAGTGCTGTGGTGGCTTAAAGGTAGATTAAGGCATGCAAACTTGGACTGCGTGGCTTTTTGCTGTCTAGATTCCACAGGAAGAGCACGTAAATGTACTGTTTTCTGTAAATATGAATAAAACAACTCAGGAATAAATAGCAAAGAAAACCTACTTTTAAAAAAATATTATATGAAAGTCAAAAGATGTTGATGTGCAGTATACAAAAGGTAAAAATCTTAATCCTGTTTAGACATTTACAGCCAATGTGCAGAAAATGTTAACACACAAATATGTGTTTAGAGGTGTGTTTTAAATCTGTGTCCCTAAAGCAGATGAATGTCTGACAGAAATGAGTGGATATCTTACGCTGTAGGTTTAGAGCTCAGTGAAAGATGTTTATATAGTCATTTCTGTCACATGGCATCTCAGGCTTCATCGTTTTTGCAGCTTATCAGCTCATCAGTCATTCAAACTGAGTTTGGATGATAAGACGGCTGTGTCTTCCAGCTTTGTGCCCATTCAGAAAGTTACTACATGAAGTAACCTTAAAACTGTAGATGCACCTCAGCAGGTGGGCTGTGGAGCATCTCGGCCCAAAGCACTTCACCTTTTGCTTCCTCTAAACAAGCTAAACGGGCTCTGGTAAAGATTTCATGACAATTGCAAACAAGTGCACAGTCAGACAGACTGTAATATGAAACACTGCTAGGTTAAACTCTTTTCACACGCTTTCATAAACAGCTGCTCTCTTAAAAAAGCACATCCTCTCCCACCAGTGACAATGATAGTGGTGAGTGACAGCTATCTGTGTGAGAAGCCTGAGCGGTTACGCCTCTCAGTCTGCGTTTAAAACCCGCTTTACAAAAGAGTCAGGACAGTATGACTCAATCTTTGAGCTGAGCTGGCGTCTGGTGCGATGGATTGGCATCCACCCCTGAGGATGAAGGCGACGCTGCTGATTGTGTTCCTGCTCAAATCTACCAACATCGTCAGGCTACATGGAAGTCCATTAGCAGGTTATAATTCTTACTTTGTTTTTTTGTTTTTCCGTCAGATAAAAGACAATTGTACAGCTGTAAAATGTAAGTGTAAGAGCTTTAAAGCACTAGATGTAACAACACTAACGCAATAACGGCTAGATTAAATGGCTAAATGAGCTTAAGCTCTCAAATGAGGTTCTTCATTATACAATAAAGTGACAAACTATTTACTGTTTTTGTGCATTTCACCCTAGTTGCTAATCTACAACAACCATGATACATCAAAAGCAGCACTTAAATGATGTTTTGAGATGCCTGGATCTATGTCGTTGTACAGGTTGTCCATTATTTTGCTAAGTCCATCTCCTGGTGCTCATGCCATCATGTCAAATTGCCCTTGAGAAAGACACTGAACCCCAAAACGTTGATCAGCCAGCAGCTCAAGTCATGAATTGTGTGCACTCAAAAAGATAGAAAAGTATTATCAAAGTGCAAATCATCATGATTCAGTTGCTTCAAGCAATAGGGACTGTGTAAAAACGCTTTCTGAATAATTCTGAAACTTCCTGTTGGTTCTTCGCTTCTAATTGTTTGCTTTCTTGGCAGAGGCAGAGAAGGTAGCGCAAAGGGGGAAAAAATAGCACTAGTATTAATGCACGTTTGTAAGAGCTGCACTTGACTTGTTGATCTGATACTGACACCTGATCTATGGTTTTAGCTCTCTTTAGATTAGAACATTAATCACACTGCAGATCTCATTGTCTCTCATATAAACACAATTTCAGTGTATATATAGGCCAGTCATGAGTGTTTTAAGCTATTACAATATAATTCTATTCTGGACTGGCTAGCACATGCTTATTCACTAACAGTCTTGAGTTAAACATGGACTTGAAATGTTTCTACTTCATTTTGTTTTGCTCTGTAATCATAACTATCTTTTCTATGGGGTTTCCTAGGAGCGGAATACAATCTTCACTGTGTCAATGATTACCTAACCACCGTCTACTGCTCCCTGAACATCACTCCATCAGAAAACACCTCAAACAGCAACAGCTCCTACTGGCTCATTTTTACAGAATTCGAGTGAGACTCTTTTAACTAATGCATTTAAGAATGATGGGTCACCTTTAACGCCATGCACCTTATTGCTGCTTCTCTTTTTCTCACAGAACGTACAAGTGCATGCTGACACACACCAAAGAGAACTATTTCTGCACATTTACAACATCGCCCAATTATGACGATACGTTTACAGATTTAGAAGTATACAAAATCTCACTTTGCCACGACCCAAATGAGGAGTCTGAAACCTGTGACGTGCTAGATGAGCAGTACCTACCTGTGCACAACAGTAAGCAGCGTAATGATCATCTGTGTTGGCAGGACTCATAAATGTATGAATTATTGTTTTTTAACAGTCACACATCTTCTTATCAGTTAAACCAAACGCGCCGTGCTGCCTCTCAGTCAGCCACAACTCAAGTCACCACCACTTTGGTTGGAAAAGCACTTACGAGATTTACACCAGCTTCACTGCTCTGCCCAACAACCTGGAGTATCAGCTCCATTACTACAAGAGGGGAGAACATAAGGTATGCTTCAGCTAATCAGCAGGAATGACAAAGGGTAAAAGTGAATGGTAAAAATCTACAAATGAAAGCCTGTTTTTTATGTTGTGAGGTAAAAAAAAAAAACCCACAGTTTTCCAAATGTAATAATATAAATAAGAATAAAAAATTGAAATCTTCTATACTTTCTGGTAAATATCTAGTTCTAAACTGAGATGTCAAACAGCTGCAGTGTTTTTATCTGCTAGTGCTGTGGGTGTTAGCTCAGTGTGGCGACAGTTTGCGGCAGAAACTGTGAATTTATTCAAGCTGAAGGCATTTTACACCGCTTGTTGATCTGATTCTGTCTCTGTGAGCACAAAGATTCAGGTTATACCTGTTGGCAAGTTGAGGTTTGTATTAAATAGAGCATTGCACAAGTTTTCACACTTCCACAGTTCCTCTACATGCTGGGACTGGCTCGAGTAAAAACTCTAAAAGTGAATTAAAACAGGGCATTTAACCATCTGACACAATCAAACAGAGGTTTTACACATTTTATATGCAAACAGCTCCATCGAGTAGTGCAGTCATGTCAAATGCATCTTACAACATTAGGCAGAGTAGTGAAATTCCCCTTTCTGTTGGTGTAAAGTTTAACTATACGTTTCATCTCGGCGATATCTCAATGTAAGATAAAGAAGTGCAGTTTCAAGTGTTTGTCTCGGTTTTTCTACATGATAAAGAAATGCTGCTGGAGTAAGTGAAAAATCTGTCAGCACGACTACAGAAAAAGTTCTGGTAGTTCATTGCCCAAACTGTCCTGTAATTTTAATAGAACAATTTTGTTATTTCAAATGAAATAACAAATAATTTAAAGAGAAAAAGAAATGAGAAAAGAAACAGTTGTCTTTATAGTAGTTAGCAGAAAAAACAGGAAAGTGAAGGAAAGTTTCTCTTATTTAATTGCTTATCTGTTACTAACAGCTATAATAATACAATTAAAAGTTCAAAAATTATCCCCTCCTTTACAAGTTCCAAAACCATCTACTGGGCCAGATTTGAGTTTTTGCCGACCGGACTCCAGCACGCAGGGTCTTTTTTTTTTTTTTACACCCTATTTTTCACCCTCTCTTGCATATAAAAGATCTCTGGTTCAAATCCACATTCAGGGTGTTGCATGCTGATGTGCTCCAAATGATGGTCCCTAGGCCTGGATAAATGTGTGTCAGAGATAAATCTGGGAGACAGAAAGCAGCCAAAAGTTTTGTCTTCAAGCTCAGTTTTTTTTTTTCTATTATAGTAAAATGTGTCAAAATCTGCTGTTAAAAAACTTACACCGTTCAAGGCAGACCATAAGTACTGGGAAACTTCAGTTTAGTAAATGAATGGGTAAACAGGTCCCTGAATGGGAGCATGTGTTACCAATTTTCGGCCTTTTTCTGCAAATTCTCGGAGTCTTCTTGTATTATGTTCTGTAGATGATCATATATTTAAAGGTTTTACGACTTCTTTTTATTAGGCCGAAATTGTTCCAAAATTTGGTGCATGAAATAATACACATATAAAGCCTAATTTACGCCATTGAGGCCTGCTCTCAAAAACTAAACTAGTGTTTAAAGTTAGTTTTGAGAACGTGCAGGGCCAGTAAGGAGCGTGACGTCATGTGGTTGGTAGGTTGCGGCTCGTAGACTTACATTAGTTTATCTAACTAGTGACAGAATCGATACTCTTGTGGAAAATGATGACACTAAACCTGCAAATAAGTTTATAAAGAAGAACAGAACAGGGCATTTCTGTCTTCTGAAAATTAATGGGATGCTTTTATGTTTTATTTCTTTCAGGTAAAAATTCGTGAAATTAGCACACAAAGTACGGGTATTTCTTTGGAAGATCAGAACTTTGAACCAGACACCGAGTATAGTGCTAGAGTACGGTCCATTCCCAATCAGGCTACGTACCAAGGCGAGTGGAGTCACTGGTCTGATGAGGCTCACTGGAGGACTAACCCTGCTGTGGATGGTGAGTCTCAATAAAAAAGAAAGCAGCTAGATTTAGATAAAACAATCATAAGCAGAAATTGATTTCTTGGATTTCTTCTGCTTCAGTATTTTCTATTGTGTTCCCCACACAGGTTTGTCAACGCGCATGTTCATTTCTGAAATGTGTAAGAAGGTGCTCCTTCCCATCTGTGGGCTGGTGGTATTCGTCATACTGATCTGCTACGCTCCTGTTAAAAAGTAACGTTATATCATGTAAAGCCTCACTTCACAAAACATTAAGTTTCATGTAAAGTCATTTTTGTACTATATTGCACTTTCTATGCTCACAGGTGGAAGCAAAATGTATTTATCCCAACTCCGGCTCCCTATTTCCACACCCTGTACAGTGACTGCCAGGGAGATTTCAAGGTAAGTTCAGCTTTTCATGTAAAAAACAGAAAAAAAGTCCCAAACTTAATGTCATTAGGATGTAACTGACCTTGTGATTGCAGAGCTGGGTGGTTACGCAAGAAAACACAGCAGACACGCTAGAAAAAGAGGAAACGCTTCAGATTGACACCTTGACAAAGTGTGCAGAAGTCCAGGATGACGACTGTCGTCCACCCCACTTTGACCAGCACGTGATGGAGGGCAGTTCCTACAGCAACATAACTCCTTCGGTCTGTGATACCACTCTCCTGGGCGTCCCGTACGCTGTGAGCACCATGATTCCACTCTCAGCTCAGGGGAGCCCAATGAACAGCCTGGTTCTAGACTCCCAATTAGGGAGTCCTTCTGGAGACTCGGGCTGCTGGCTCTGCAGTGACACGTCCCTAGAAAGGGAGCCTCCCTGGTACTGCAATGAGTACTGCACCCTGAGTGCTTTCCAGCAGTCCAGTTCTGTCCTGGCAGAGCACCATGGGAGCTTGTAAAAACAAGTCTTGCCCAACAGGGATCAATTCAAGAAAGCTTGAAAGTTGTCATGAAAAGGAACATTTTTCTACTGGACGGAGTAGTCCACGTTATGATTCAGTAGCTAATAGAACCTGTAGCAGAAATAACTCATTTTATCAGTCCTTCTCGTTGTGGGGTAATTTTGACATGCTCTTCTTTATAATGTTACTTCAGTTTATTGTTAATTCTGCGCATTAAGCTATAAATAGTCCTCTTGAGGTCCCACCACAGGATTTCAATCAGGCTGTGGTCTAAACTTCTGGGCCATTGCGGCACCTTGAATTTTTTTTTCTTTTTTTACAGATTTTATGTAGCATTTAGTTACATGTTGTCCATGTACTACTTCACTGATGTTTTTATCTTTTATGCACAGTCCAAACCTGTCTGGAAACAGGGTGAAAGTCTTATTTTGTGACTCATCCGTTTTGTTTCTGCATCACTGAAATGCAAGATGAACTTCTGTGTATATTCTGCTCTTAATAAAGAAAATACATTATGTAGAAAGGTTTATTAAGCCAACACATACATGAACAAAGCACCATATAACCTTAAAGTCTGATACAGAAGTAAGCCTACCTGCCTCAGTCACTGTGGCCATTTTTATTTATAGCAAACACTCTGAATAACAAAAAGACAGCCAAGGCAGCAGAATCTATTGTATATTACAGCATGCTGAATAGAAAACCTGGGAAAGAGAATTAGACAGAGCCATCTAGAGACACTAGTGAGATACAACAGTATAAAAGTGCCATTCATTATACAGCAGTTGAAATACTGACAATGAAGTAAGCTAAATTTTACATTAAATTTATGGAAAATAAAGGAGGAAACAAAAAGAAAAAGACCCTGTGAAAGAGCAAAATAAAACAAAACGACATTTTCTTCCTTGAAATATTGATGACAGTCAGCTTGCATGGGAGTTGATGAAACCGGTACCAAGCTGTGTCCCTTGCACGACATAAGACAATTATTGTTTAAAAAGAAATTACCAGGGTGCTGACGCACCCATTCCCTCCCAGCATTATGCGCCAACCGGCAATTAAGAACAAAAAAAACTGATAGGTCAGAGGAGAACGGATGGCACAGAATGTGGAGTTTAAATAGAAGTCTTTAAGCAAGTCCCGATGTGAGAGGAGCACATTCATAGAGAGACTGAGCCGGGAGGTGATTCTTGTTAAACCCATTCCTTCCGTCTTCGCCCTTACGAGGGGGAGAATTTTTTGGCTTGTGCTCGAACTCTTTTTTCATATTCTACTCTGTTTTGGCTGAAAAGACATTAAAAACAAAACAAACAGAAACAACAGTTATTACGACTGCTTACTCAAAACAGGCACAGCATGCTGCTCAAAAAGTAAACATCTTTAATCAGTCAGTGGAAAACCCTAGAAGTTCATGTGTGATACAGGAGTTTTTGAGACCTCTACATCAATGAGATTTCTTTTTAAACCCTTAAACTCCTCTTATGTGTTTTAAATCGTCAGAAGGTTCAATAAACACTCCTGCTTCAAAAACATTGAATTTTTAGGGTTCAGGTTTTACAGGGTTAAGATCTCATGTGTACTTTAAAATAGGTAGACGCTTCACAAGCTTAGTCCCCAGAGACACACCCAATAAATAAATGAATAAATAAATAGTTTCCTGTGCTAGTTATAAACTTAAAATAATATGAGGTGCAATCTGAAAATTCTTATTTAAATTTGGCCTTTGTCCACTCTGCATTCCTGTGTTGCTCTATACTGCTCAGACCGCTTTGACCCCACTGTGGAATTCCCCATTTTGACCACCTGCAGGTGCAAATCTATGACGTGTGCTGGATCATCTCCAGGACAACCTTTAAAAGTTCATTCTCATGAGAAAGTTGTTACAGTGCCAAATCTGGCAAGTGGTGCAGGTGGCTATGATTGTGTTGGCGTAGTTAAAAAACACAACTGACACACATATCAGACCGCGTGCACTAAATGTTCTCCCTCAGATGCCTCGAGACATTAAAGTAGAACTCCGTATTAAGAGTCTGACCCAAGGGGGCAAATTCACTGTGGATGTTGGGTGAAAAACGAGGGGAATGATGAAGCCAGAGAAAAAGTCATCTAGTCTGAGGTTCACTGAGTGGATTTAAAAAAAAAGAAAAAAGAAAAAAAAGTGAAACACCATATTATAAAAAGCCCTCCAGTGCACACAGAAAAAGTCTGATCCCTCTATATTTCTGCATGAAGATGTACATATTTAAAGATTTGTATGAATGCTATTTTTTTAAGAACCCCGTCTTAGTTATCACTAATAATAATTCTGCTCTTGTGGGCATATAAATTAGTAAATAAACAGCCATGGTCTACATTGCTTTCCTTTCTAAAACCATGTTGGTTTCAAATTCAAGTAAATCTAATCAACAGTTATTTGGTTTAAATAATTATTCATTTATTGTAAAACAAGACCTCCAACTCCCACTTACGGTAATTAATAATTTGCCCTAAGATGTCAGTGGCCTTACATTTGTGAATAAATTGCTGGTTTCATGTGAATTAATCGTCACTCACCAGTAGATCGTGTAAGCCTCTGCTTGGGCTGGATCCTGGATATTTGGCTCATTTAGCAGTTCCTGGATACCTAATAAGATCTACAAGATAAAAATGAAACATTTCAGAAATTCACCAGGTTGGGATGCTTCTCTGAAGGCTCCTTAATATCAGTCAACTTAATACTGAGTGCACACACTTTATGCAACACTGCTCGCTGCACATAATAGTCATGATTGACTATTGCTAAACACTGAATACAAATTGTGATGCACATATTTTAAGCTTATGGTTTGACTCTCGATTTAGCGTTGTGCTTCTCTGCCTCTCAGGCACAATAGAAACAGGCGTACGTCACACTTCACTGCCCATCGAGACTTGTCTGCTTTATAAGTGTGTTTGTTAATCTGGAGGACTGTCATGTCGCCAATTTACAGCTGAGCTTTTCTTCCCTTAAAATTAAAAAAAAAAACAAAAAAACAATTTGGTGACAAATGTAGCCACTTTGTGTACAATCCTTGGTTAGGAGATAGACATTCAGTAGACAGGTGTGAGGAGTTACAAAACAAACTTACTGTGTGATTATTTTACATGTAAACGTGGCTTAAAATGACAGCACGGCCACCGTCTGTGCTTCATGACCAACATTATTAAAATATCACCCAGCCTGAAAGCTAAGAGAGGGATTCAAAAGCCTACGCGTCTCGTTTTCCTATCAGCATCAAAAAATTTGACTGATTACCTGATAAACTTAGATAAGGTTCCAGTTTAGAAATGTCATCTTAAAATCAGAAAACATCTGGAACTTTAAGAGACCATGTGAACACACTCACACTCTTAGGCTTTAAGGTCATTACTGTAGATGAAATTCACTTTACAACACAAACCTGCTTTATTGTGATGGCTGGTCTCCAGTCCTTGTCCTCCTCTAGTATCGATAGGCAAACTGTGCCTGATGGATACACGTTTGGATGGAAGAGTGGAGGCTCAAATTTACCTGAAAGATGGCAAAATATTAAGTGGGCTTTATGTTTCAGGTATATTATACATACCAAACAAAAGGGGTTAGACTACTAAAGTCACTGCGTGCCCAGACTGAACTGTTCCACTGAAGACAGCAACGTCTGTTGTTTACACAAACAGTGCCGTTAGGTCATTTTAATTTGACATTCAGACAACGTGGAGCTCGTGCTGCAGGATTAGAGCCGGTGTAAGCCACGGTGCTCTGGCCTTGTGTGGCAGGTAAGTACGGTAGTGTTTTGAGACACACAACAGGAATCTGCTACTTGTTTGTAAGCAGTTTTTTACCATCAATTTACAACAATATCAGGTCTAAAAATCAATCAACTGGCAAAAATCTTGCACAACCCGTTTAAAAGGAACAGCAAATGACGCATGCATGAAAGCATCTATTGGCCGTGACCCTGAATTAACACCAAAATTGCAGCAACATTGTTATATCGCCAAGCTTCCTCAGCTCCAACATGCTTGCTGCACTACTTAAATGGCTTTAATAGCGCTGCCAAATTAAAATAATTAGAAGAGAAAGTCTGTATTTGCTCTGCTGCGTAAAGGTCAAGCAAGGGTTATTCTGGAGATTTTCCTAAAGAGCAGAATTTTTCATGTAACCCAAAGAGATTAATCACAGCCACTGGAATAAAGACACTTTAACCAGTTTCCACTGCTGTTTATATAATAACAACAAAAACATGAAGCTGCTTAGATTTCTATCATTAAAGTTGAAAACTCGACATTTGTAATTATCCCACAAAGACCAGAAAACAGTCATGTATTCAACCAATCACAGCCGAGGTGTCGACATCCCCAGCACTGCTAAGCTTCAGTTTGACAGCTTAAACACAGGTTTCCAAAGGATTACTGCACTAACCTTAAATTAAAACCTTTGGCTTTAAATCAGCCTCTTTCTCATTACCATAATAAACTAACATGTCTGAAGAGATTCATCATTCAGTGCTGCCAAATGTTGATGAGAGGAAGCCTTAATTAGCTTTTAAAGACAGTTTACAGATGTGCCGAGTAGGCTGGAGGATGCCCATGCGCCTGCACTTTTCTGTTCCATTTCAAACCATCAAAATTTAAAAAAATAAATAATTAACTTGATCTGACTGTAGATAAACATAACCAAGTTTGTACTGGCATACAAATTGTATCCGATAATGCTAAAGGCTCTTGAAAATATGGGAACTCTACTATGCTCCAGGTTTTACTTCCAAATAGATTTCCCAAAGCATCTGCAGGCCAAAATGATAGCTAGTGTATTTGTCATATTTACGGGCTGAATGCACAGCAACTCACATTTTGGAGGTGAAGACGGATAGTCGTCCTTGAACAACATGCGCAGCTTGAACAGGCCTCCTTCCCACGGAGTCTGAGGAGAGACGATCATTAGATCAATTTAGAAACAGAAGGCTACATCACTGACTCTTAAAAGTTACTACTACTACTACTACTACTACTACTACTACTACTGCCAGTCAAACTGTAAAATTATTTTTTAAAACTTATCATGGTTCAATTTGTTTTGGGTTGTTTTTGCAGAGCATTTACTCATACAGTATGCTTTACACCCACTACAGTATTTTCATTGTCCTAGAAAGATCATTGAGTCTTTTTTAATTATGTAAAACAAATCTACTCGGCATGCAAACAAATCTATGAAACACATTACCCCCTTTTTGCCAGGAATAGCACATTCCCAATTCATGAGATTCATGGTTCCATCCGGGTTTTTTGTCGGTACCGCAACAAATCCCTGGGAAGAGTAAGAGTTGAAATTAGAAAGTTTGTTAGAAAGCAAACACTTTCTAACCAACACTCAGGTAGGCTTTCATCGCACGGATCTCGTGAGCCAATACTTACAAAAGGATGGTCCTTCCGCCATGCCTTGCGCTCCTGAGCAAGCCGGCTCAATGCAATGCCTGACATGATTTGTGGACTCCTGCAAAGAGGGTCAGGTTGATTAGAAAACCAGACATCTGGCTGTCCTGTCTTCTGAAACGAATAGCTCTTTAGCTTTCCTTTGTTTTAAAGATAATAACAATAATAATAAAAAAAGAAACAATTTCCTTAGTATTCTAATTCGACATATTTAAAGTTTTAGGCAGCTAGTCGAAACAATTTAACCTAAATCATACTCTAGAATGACCATTAGCTGCAGCCAAATTTTGAAAAACTGAAAGTTTCCATACTGTAAAGAAACCAAGAGGGCATCCAATGTTATTACAGAGCAGCATCAGTTCAGGTCCTTTCCCAACTGGTTTAAGTTATGAGCCCGCTCCCTACCCTACTCCAAAAAAAACAAAGTATTGTGATATTAACATTTCTTGTGTGTGAAATCACACGGACACGACGTACAACATTCAACCCGTTTATGGCGCATATTAATTTTGGTACTTTTCTGACTTGCATCGAGTCACATACCCAACCGTGTTGCCAACTAGCGTCGGTGGCAATTAGGATGCTGCATAGGAATGTCTATAAACGCTAAACACTGAAGCTAATTACAACGAGGTAAAGCAACAAAACAATGCTAGTGATTAATGGCCACCGCAATTTATCAATACGAGACAAACGGACTTCATCATAAACTGATGTTCTAGTATGCAAGCTAAACTGTTTTTATTGGCCTGGGGGCTTGTGTGTTTAAAAGTACAGCTTATTTCGACAAGTCTGCGACGCTAAAAGGCTAGCCAAGTTAGCCGGTGGAGATAACCGCTCCAGAGGAAGAAAAAAAAATATTCTACCATTTTCTACCGTTTCCGCGACCAGGGTTTTAAAGCTAAAAAGGGGATCCATGAAGATCTTACTCATTATATGTTTGCTGAACTTCGGCGTGACGTTGCCGTCAACAGACACTTTGACAAACTGGCAATCAAAGCTATTTGATTAGCACGCTAGCCGGTTAGCTTCACAAGCTAACTCATGTGCGCCAGAATGGAGCTACATCCCAACAGGCGCTGGCGCTGTTAGCGTCTGACACGGCCTGATGCAGCACAAAACTGCGCAATTGCACTTGATTTCGAAGACAATTTTTGGATGGGAGAAGAACGACCACTTGCTCTCTTCTAACGCATAATAATAGCAACTGCCTTGTAGAAACAGGGGTGTGAGATTTTCCACCGGGATGAACCACATCATTATCTTTTAAAGAATAGGGACAAAGAACGCCAGAGCTAAAATGCGCACATTTATGCATTACCAAACTAGCGAAAATGGCGCAAACTGAAGCGGGTAAAATGTAATAATACACGACAAAAATGAACGTTTCCGCGTTCAGGGTGTACTCCTACCTTTCAGTATGGCTGCACTGGCTCTAGTAATTAAGCGAAATGAATTAATCGTGCTCAAATCCCGTTAAACCTTGTAAAGTTTCCCTCCTGAAAAACCACCCGCTCCGTCTCGAGCCAGAGACAGCGATGCGAAACACTCATCCGTCCTTTACTTCCGTCTTTGCTTAAATACCTCTTGGAAAATCGGACTGCGCATTTCTTTTTCGGAGGTTTAATGTTTTGAATGTATTTTTTCACCTGCCCTGGGTTTAGTTGAAAGAGTTTCCCGAACTAGTCGTTTATTAGCTTTCATTTAATTCGAGCAGCCTAGCTGCCGTTGTTAGAGCGCAGTGCGTTAGAAAAACTTATTTAAGTTTATGTCGATGGGGAAATTCTACCTTTGCGGTTCGTACTCTTCGTTCAAGCGCCGTTTGTTATCAAAAAAAATGACAAAGGTTAAAGTGAAAATATGATACATTATTGCAAAGTATAGAAGATTACCTGGGATTTTTTTTTTTTTAAAACACTTTATAGAAAATACAAATCAAAACTCTTCTCTAATTTCATACCCAAGTAAGCCGCGTGGTCTTAAACCCAGACGGATTTCTCTCTTCTGTAATATATAATCTTTGGGTGCCTTAGACTAAAGCCCATTAAACCTACGACTGTCAACGAGATTAAAATATTTTGTGCGCAGTTACCAAAGAGTTAAGATAAGCGATACGTCTAAAAGACCAATTTCGGATAATTTAATTCTAGGTATAAACGAAAACTTTTCTCCCCCGTCGTCTATATTTATACAGGCATATTTTTCGACTACTCAACGACAACTATTCCTTTCGTGACTCGACTCAAGAGGTCGCCATTATCAGATATTACGATTTGTTGTCGCCACTTTATCCATTTATTGCTATAGTTTGCAAAAGTTTAAGAGCACTGTGCAGTCAAAATGAGCACTTCGTATATATATTATATATATATATATATATATATATATATATATATATATTCCCCCCTTTTTCCTTTAAATTATAGTAACTTCGAAGAGCCAGAAGATAAATAATAAAAAAAGACAGATATGAATGACAACATTTTATTGGGTTTACCCTATGCAAGACCATATAGATCTATCCCCTTAACCCTCATACTCAGTTTGTATATTTTTAACATTGCATAAGATCATATAGAAGTGATCTATGTAGTGATATGAGAACCTTATTAATGTAACTGTTAAGATTGAGGAAAAATGACACATTCATTCCCTCTGATTACAAGTGTGATCATCATCATCAGTCATGCATTACAGTGATTTGTGGTTTATGACTTGAATGCAAAACAAACTGGGCACTTAAAAGGATCAGGCTACACATTTGATAAGTTTGTCCATCACATAAAAGATTATCCCAGATTCTAAACCAGACAACCTGTCTGAAGGGCATTCAATGTAATGTAGCTGCTCAAGTAGAGGGGGCGTTGAACACTTCTGAACAGAGCATTTTAAATGAGATTACAACCAAACCAAGCAAATCAAACACAAAAACACTTAAAAAAAGGTCTCAAAAGAGACTTGTATAAACCTTAGCTCTTAGCCTACGCAGATACATTTCATCAAATTTAAGAAGAAAGGGGGCGAAAGCAAGATTGTCTGCAACGCTCAAGCACTGGCTGTTAAAAATGGATGGAGTATCTCAACATTTGTCAGCATGTCAGAGTGAATATTAGCTTATGGGGAGTGCTAGTTGCCATTGGTGCGGTCACACAAGTAGGTGTGTGAGGGAGTGCAAGACGGTAAATAATCGGAAGGCTTCAGAATACTATAGCAAATGTAAACATAGCCTAGCTCTGGCAGGAAATCCAGTCTACTCTGATTGAACCTCTTTGCAGATCTCAAATTTTGCACTTTAAAAGCCCTTGTGTGTGTGTGTGTGTATATATATTTCTATATTTAAAAACATGCATCCATACTCGTTTCCTCCCGACAATATAAAAACGGTCTTAAGTCGAGTGTATACGTGTACGTGTGAGTAAATGGAGGTTTGTGTGTCGTTAACAAGTCTATATGTACAAAGTGTGCCAGCATTAAGAAAAGTTACTCATCCCTGACACTAAGATCGATGTGTTCAATACACATAAGACATTGGATTTTGGTCACTGGGAGAAGAGGGGAAAAAAAAAAGACAACACTAAATGATAACATGTGAATGAAATATCCAACCTATCAAAACCACACATCAAAACCTGAAAACAACTTTCTATTTAAAAAAAAAAGTGTTCTAAAAGGCAGTATTTACATTACCAGCATTACAGGCTGTAAGCAGTGTGCACAGTGTTTCCCACTGTAGTGCTTGTAATGCTGTGTATGAAAATCTACACAATTAAAAATAAAAATAACAGCTAAGAAATCTTATCACACTGCAAGAAAAAAAAATACATTTTTGTTTTTCTGAAACGTAACAGTCAACTTCATAGCCAGCCAAGTATAGCTTTGTTATTGGTTATCAAAACATGTTCCAGGCATGTTGTCAGTGAAAGACGCCTTACAGAGTATCTTTTTTTCCTTGTTTAGTTTTTTTAAACCCCAACTCCGAAATCTCTAGTCCTGTACAAACGATGCAAAAAACAGAAGCCAAGGTTTTCTTGTTTTTTTTGTTTTGTTTTTTTAAAGATCCAGTATAAACAACTTCCACCTGAAGCTGTGTTTTCTATACAGTGTACAAAACGTGCAGTTTTCCTAAGAGTTAAATATTAATATTGAATTTGGATTATTTACATGAAAACAAAATCTTGATATGAACAAAGTCCTTCACCGCTGCCTTCGAACAGTTCCAGTCCCCAAACGCCGCAAATACTTCCCCTCAAAAAAAAAACAAAAACCCGAAACAAAAACAAAAAACAAAACAAACAAAAAAAAACAAAAACAACCCTTAAAAAAACAAAAGGATCTCAAACGATGTTCCCTCAAACATATGAAATAAACGATCTAAGGATAACTCAGACAACAGCGGGGAAGGGGGAGTCACCATTGTCCTGAGGACTTTACCAGTTAACTTTAGATTTATGAACATGAGGTCTCAAATAGTTTAAAAACTTCAGACATTTCTAAGAAAATTCTAATTAATGCAAACTTACGCTTAAGAGCCTTTCAAAGTCTTTATATTACTACAGGTCCACATTAACAGAAAACAGAGCAACTGTAATCACTCTTAATCTTTAAAAAGGCAAGAGGACTTCCTGAATGTATAATAACTTAAATAAAAAATAAAAACAAAAAAAGGGGGACAGTTCAGCTTAAAAATCAAATGATACATCCAAAACTGTTCCACAGTCTGAGATACATCAAGTCTGCAACCTCTTGAATATAATTATAACTAAATGGAACTCATGGCGTGGTACTCAGAAATAGAAGTCAGCGTTAATGTGACTCGGGTATTAAAAAATGTAAAACTTTTTTTTTTTAAAAATTACACAAACCATGTTTTCTGCAGGAACTATTTTCTTTGACTGAACTACATCCGCCAGCTGGAGGAAGTGTGTGCCTATCCATCATGTAAGGCTGTGACAGGACGTAAACAACGGTGTTTGCCTCTGCTCACCCATAATGTCAACTAGCCACATGATTTCTAAACCTGCTCACAATTTCAGTGGATTTTTTGGAGCAATGATTAAAAAAAAAGGGGGGGAAAAGAAGTTTTTGGGGCACTGTGAGAACCAGAAGGCGACTAGCATCTAGAGCCCGACCAATAGTTAAAAATACTAAATCAAAAAATATATCAACATTTCAATTAATCAGACAATTTGTTTCCCCTTTCAGATCCATGAAACTTATGCAATCACTCTTATGCTCAAATCAGCTGGTTGCAGCTATGTTGCCTCCAGCGAAGTTGCAGTGCCCTCTGGTGGACAAAGTATGCAACATCAAAACTGCTAACATGGCTGAAGGGTGCTTCTCTGGTCTCTTCTTTAATTTTCAGGTATTAGTTGTCATAAATGCAGATATATCTGTCAGACTCACGCTACATATAGTTCTATTAAATTCATGGGAATATTTTATGGATTATTTTAAACTCCCTAGAAAAGCAAACTATATAAACTAAAAGCAGTAGAGGGTCAGAGTTCAAATATGAATAGTTGACTTTCAAGCAAAGAGTCAATTTGACCTAACAGCAACAAAAAAAAAAAAAAAAAAAAAAAAGCACCTGCAATGCACTGGGTTACTAAAGATGGAAGCTACAGTACACTAGTAGTATACTTTTACCTGAAGTATATATTTTTATAAAGTATATTGCTTTGCAACATGTTTATTATAGGTCATTTCCTACCTCTGATTACCTAATGCCCCTTTATCTACAGTCAAGATTTCTTGTACTCTAAGGTGATCATTCCTTTTTTTTTTAATTTTTTATTTCTTCTTGGGAATTTTAAAGGAAAAAAAAGTGCATTTGAGGTCCTCATGATCACAAATCTCAGTGAAACTGAAGTCTTTGGGTAAACATTTTTAACCAGTTTGCTT